TTTGAGCGCGCTGAATGATGCAAATGTTTGCCTGCCCTGGCTGTTTTTTTTTTGTATCACGCTCCGCGGGCCGGATTAAAAGGTCCGCCGGGCCGTATACGGCCCGCGGGCCGTAGTTTGCCCATTCCTGATCTAGACCAACGTCTTTAATAAAGTTGTAGTGTTAAGGCAGAAAAACTAGTGTGGACTATTTTTGATACTTTTCAAAGTATATGGAATCATAAACACCTGTCCATGGCAAAGCGGAGTCATGTAAATACTGATCAAGGCTAATTTGAGGCAGAAGCCAAAATAACCCACCGGAATGTTTTTGGAACGCGGGACAGAAATTAGAAAACCTGAAAATAAAGTTATCCAAACATAGAGGAACATAGGGGTAGATTTACTAAAACTGGTGCAATCAGAATCTTGTGCAGCTGTACATGGTAGCCAATCAGTTTCTGACTTCAGCTTGTTCAATTAAGCTTTGACAATAAAACATGGAAGCTGATTGGTTTCTATGCAGAGCTGCACCAGATTTTGCAATCTTCAATTGTAGTAAATAAACCCCATAGAGTCCTAGGTTGTATTGTAATGTGTGTTTTTAGAGGAATTATGTGACCAGTGCAACTTTTCAGTGCTACTACATGAAAGATTAATGATTAGACAAACAAAACACTAATTCTCCCAAGTATTTGGAATTGTAGATCAGGCCAGATAAAAGGTTTACACAGTAGGAATGGCAAATGAGCACCTACCGAAGTGGATAATCCATCCAAGACATGCCTGGACAAAACCTTTACCGGTTCTATAGTTCTAACAATAGTCACATGCTCTGGTTACTGAAATATTTATATGTAAACTATATACAGAAATACAGACAGACACAGTTAGGTCCATATATATATATATATATATATATATATATATATATATATATAAATATTTTAGGTCCATATACACAATTTTAGATTTTTCAGGTATTTACCAGAACATAGTTATATAATGGATATGGGCTGGAAGTGCAGACTCTCAGGTTTAATTTGAGGGTATGTACATCAAAATTGGAGGAAGGGTTTAGGAATTACTGCTCTTAAGAGAAGCCACACCCCCTTTTTCAAGGGACCAAAAGTAATTGGATAATTGAATCAAAAGCTGTTTCATGGCCAGGTGTGGGCTACTCTTTCATTATTTCTTCATCAATTAAGCAGGTAAAAGGTCTGGAGTTGATTCGAACTGTGGTATTTGCATTTGTAATCTATTGCTGTGACCCTACATCATGATTCAAAGGAGCTGTCTATACAAGTGTAACAGGCCACTGTAAGGCTTCAAAAAACTAAACAAACCCATCAGAGAGATAGCAGCAACACTAGGAGTGGCCAAATCAACAGTTTGGTGCATTCTGAGGAAAGAAGAATGCACTGGTGAGCTCAGCAACATAAAAAAGCATTGACGTCCATGGAAAACAACAGTGGTGGATGATTGCAGGATCCTATCTATGGTAAAGAAAAAGCCATTCACAACATCCAGACAAGTGAAGGACACACTCCAGGAGGTGGGCATATCATTGTCAAAGTCTACAATCAAGAGAAGACTTCACAAGAGCAAATACAGAGGGTTCACCACAAGGTGCAAACCATTCATAAGCATGAATACCAGAAAAGTCAGATTAGACTTTGCCAAAAAACAACTAAAAAGAACAGACCAGTTCTGGAAAAGCATTCTTTGGACGGATGAAACTAAGTTTAATCTGTACCAGAATGACGGGAAAAAAAAAAGTGTGGAGAAGGCTTGGAACAGCTCATGATCCACAGTACACAACGTCATCTGTAAAACATGGTGGAGGCAATGTGATGACATGGGCATGCATGGCTTCTAGTGGCACTGGGTCATTGGTGTTTATTGAGCCTCAACAGCCATAACATTAAAGCCAGAGACCATGGAGTATGATGACAAATCAGTCTTTGGGACAGAAGGTCCTGACGATTTGGCAGAGCCCATGGAGCATCCACCAGATGTCTTACCAGGTCAAAGTACCCTGTCCAGCTGGGCCAATCTGGAGCAATGAGGATCACTGGAAGGCCCACCATCTTGATCCAGGTGAGCAGGAGGAAAGGCATAAATCATGGAATACTGATCCAACTGAACCACCAGAGTATCTACTGCTTCTGTTAGAGGATCCCTGTACCTGGAGGCAAGCCTATCCAGTTTGTCATGGAACCTAGAGGTCAATGTCCAGCATACTACACCTGCAACACAGGTCCTGAACACCCCTGAGTGCAGGAACCACTCACCTAGGTCCAGTTGGGTTGTTTGAGAAGTCTATCTTCTAACTGACTATTTGTCATCTGAAAAATACATGCTTGACAAAGCTGGAAAACTATGTTCTACCCAGGACAGGAGAAAACTTTGCACTCTGACCCTCAGGCTGTTTCTACTATGGATGATGGGTACTCATGCCACCAGTGGCATTCTTGATGTTGTCATCATGATCTGGTCAACTCTACCTTGAAAGCCATGCAAATAAAATGCTTTTTACACAGGGGCTCCGCAGCCCAGCTCTTTAGCCAAACTGCCCTATGCATATGTACCAACATGAGAAACATGCGAGAAATGAGATGAAAGATTCCAGCAAACTGTCACTACAGCCATCTGCCCCATACTTTCTACAAAAGAGGGATCAACTGCAGTAGTGGCTAAATCTCTTTTTGAGGGATTCTGACCATTCATATAACATTTGGCAAAGTATGGTCACAGCCAGAATTGGATGAAGGGCAGGACCAATCACCAGGAACAGGACTATAGAAAGGGTTTTTAATCATGTAATAGTTGGATGCTTATAGACAGGCATGTTCTCTACAAGAATAGTAAGTGCATTGTTAAGGCAGGAAACTCCCAGATCCACAGTGGGAATAGACCTCTTTTTTACAAAATCCTCACTAAAATAATACAAGGATAAGAAGTGCTTAGGAGGAGTAAACAACTTATTAGAATGCTTCCAATTTCAATAGAAAACAGTTGGAAAAGTGGGTGAATTGGGAAAGTCTTTGTGGCCTTAGGAATGTTTAACAGCCCAAGACTGGAAACAGCACTGCTAGAAACAACAGGCTAATCCTCTAGTTTCAAAGTGGTGTGAACTGCGTCAGTGCTGACATGATCTCCTTAAATTGGAAGTAATATCTGTAACAGATTGACTGAGTAGCTTACCCCTGCAAATGTAACAAAGGACTGGCCCGACTCAGAATCAGTCTCTGCAGCTGAAGGCTCAGAAGCTGCTAAGGCTGTGGGCAAATCAAATACAGAATCTGCAAAAGAGGACACGATAGTGTGCTTGTGGCCTCTGAGATCAGAGGCAGCCAGTAAATGGGTAATTTGTGTAAAATTCTTTCATGATCATTGTAAAAACCTCAGTGGAAAGGTGAGAATATCAAGCCACACCCGATGAAACCAAAGAGGACTCCAAGTACTAGACAGACTCTGAAGGCTGGCACACACGCACCGAATATCGGCCGATTCAACAGAAATCGGCTGACATTCAGCCAGTGTGTATAGCAGCCTGTCCAGCTTCTGTTAAATGGGCATGCTGGAAAACAAGCAGCTGATGAGCATCCAATTAGCACACGCAGCCAACGGCTGTCTTAACACAACAATCTGTGGAAAGATCGCTGTACTAATAATGAATAGTTAGTACACCAAGCTCCTCAGTTTTTTTTCTTCTTCCATTCAGCCCTGTGGGTTGAACAAAAAAAAAAAGTCTACCTTTGTGTATCAGGCTTAAGAGCAGAGAATAATATGATTCCAGGCTGCAGACGTTGGCACTGTCAGTAAGTGTGCTGTAAGAAGCACAGAAGCTGTTAGAGTGTGAGCTACGGTCACCCGGTACAGTGGGATGACTGTTCCCTCCATCCTCTCTAGAGATGGTGGTAAGGCAACATATAGGCTCAGAATAAGAAGCAAGGCCTCAGATATTCATATATAGGGCAGCACAGTGGCTAAATGGTTAGCACTTCCGCCTGGCAGTACTAGGGTCGTTGGTTCGAATCCCAACCACGGCACCAAATGCCTAGAGTTTGCATGTTCTCCCTCTGCGTGCGTGGGTTTCCTCCGGGTACTCCGGTTTCCTTCCACACTCCAAAGACATGCTGGTAGGTGAATTGGATCCTGTCCCTAGTATGTGTATGTATGAATGTGAGTTAGGGACTTTAGATTGTACGCCCCTTGAGGGTTAGGGACTGATATGAATGTATAATATATATGTAAAGCACTGCGTAAATTGATGGCGCTATATAAGTACCTGAAATAAATAAAATATTCATGAAACCCTGACGGCTGGTAGCAGGTAAGGGTTGGATGGGCCAAGGAGACCAAATTCCTTGTGGGCAGCAGGATGGATTAAAAATTGAAAAGACACATGGCTCTTTGCAAGCAGGAGCAACAGCAGGATATCCTTCCTTTATGATTTATGGCGGGAAAGAGCATGCAGTGTGCACACTCCACCCACTGGATGACATCAGCACTTAATTCCATGGCATTAACACACCAAAACTGGCACGAATGAGAAAATTGGTGCCCTGTGTCCTGCCCTAACCAGGCTACTCACTACATGAGCCTTCAGAGACAGGACGAGGGCTGAGGCAATGCCAGCAACTCTAGACATGGAAAGCGTTCCACAGCTAGCTGTTACCAGAAAGGAGTCTGGAAAGCACCCCACACAGAACCCGGAGTATGGATGCAGTACTCTAAAACCCAGGCTAGAAAGCTGCAATCAAAGAGACACAATTCTAGCAGTTATTCTGGGCTTGCCTACAATTTTTGTTTGCCAGTGTCCAATGCCCCTGTAAGCAGCAGTATAGCCTGAATGTTAAAGACTTTTTGTGTTTCTCAGTGAACAAGAAAGTAAAGTTTTCATCAGACCAATATCAATTGTGTTGTTCTTTAACTATAAAAAAGAGTGTTAGGACATTTGGTACAAAATATGATGATTGTAGTGGTTTGCAGAAAAAAATAACAGCATTCCTCACCATTTTAGTCTTCTTCATTTCTAAAACAGGTAATTGCAAGGTAGAGGTCTGTCCTTGAGATACACTGCAAGGATCTTTATGGCCAGTTCTGCTTTTTGTTGACAACTCTGCTGCTGGCAATTCATTCTCAGAGTATTCTGCAACCTTCTTTTTTGGTTTAGTCACAAATTCTAGACAGGATTTATTAGGTAGTGTTTTGTTTTTGAGTGGAGCTGTTCCAGATGCTACTGCAGTTTCAGTGCTAGCTGTTTTATTTAACTGTTCTCTGCTTGTTTGCTTTTGATCCATATAGGAGCCATTAACTGCTTTGCTTCTTTCTTCAGCATTGCTGTCAGTCTCAGTCTGGCTTCCATTGTTTGCAGTAGACTGAGAACAAATCACAGCAGCTGCACAATCTAGTCTTTCTGTATGTACAAGTGCCCGTTGAGCTTGGGCAGAGAGTATGGTATCTAGATCTTCTGGAGCTTGCTTCCTCTTCACTGCCTTCCACTGTCTGGGGCTATGACAGGTTTCCTTGTTCCTCTTAATGTTTTCTGGGAAAATTGCTCTAATAATTTTGGAATCATGTTTGCTCTCTGAATGAGATAAAATGGGACTTATTGGAAGTTTACTTTCCAAGGCTACTTTTCTTTGTGGAGAAGTGTGTATCTGACTTGAGGAATCATGGACAAGAGGGATCAATCTAAGCAAGCTTGGGCTACAGTCTGAAAGTGTCCCCTGACTAGAGGGAAGAACAGAATTAGATTGTGGAGCTCCCATCTGATTTGTGCTTGAAGAGGTTTTTGCATCAGGCTCTGCCTGTTCGGATGGTAGTTTAGAAAGCTTCAGTGGAGGGATCTCATCCTGGCTTTCAGGGGAGTGATGCATAGACCTATCTTGAGGGTAGTGAAGTATATCTGGTGTGCTGTCTGAATCAGTAGCTGGGTCTTTCTCACTGCTCTGCTGAGCGATAGAAGGGTCAGAGGCAGCTTAAAATAATAAAAGAAAAAAAAAAATAGTCAATAATATGCAGACCAGTAACTGATAGCACATTTTGGTATGAAAGTGGAAAACCTTTTACTTATTCACATACTATATTTTATCTTCTTCAGTTTTTTAAACTGAAACTTTGCGAAGCATTATAATGTGGTAACTATAACAATATTTTCTAGATTGTAAGAAGCTCAAACTGCTAATGAACTAACGCTAGTAGTTTGTTTTATACATTCATATTTCTGTGCACTCAGTTTAATCTTACAGTATCTGTGATGTGCTGTCGATGACAAAAACAATACTGTCCTGTAATTTATAGGCTTCTTAGTGCTGGAAAAGGTCCATAGCAGAAAAGGCTCATAATTACCATGTAATTGTAACCTTAAGTGCAGAAAAATCAGCACAAGGGACATAACTTACAGTCAGTAGGAAGTATCCCTTGTGCAGATGCCTCTTCTGTTAATGAAACTCTCTGTCCTGAACCCCCCACCCCTCTGCAATCTACCAGTGCAGTGGGGGTTAATACAACTAATAGACTGTCACAGGCTCTCATCAAGACAGCCTTTTCTGCCTAGCTGCTCCATTCATACAAGCTGTACTACAGGCTCTACGAATGGAAAGCAATCTAAGAATGGAGGACAGGCAGATGATTTATAGATCTGCCCCTTTTCCATTCATGGACCCCGTTTCATTCATATAAGCTGTAGTACGGCTTCAATAAATGCAGCCGCTAGGCAGAAAGGGCGGGCATAGTCGAGTTCTCTTGATGAAAGCCTGTGACAGTCCATTAGTTGTATTAACCCCTGCCGCGACAGATGATTACAGGAGCAAGAGTGGGTGGTGGCCGGCTTAGAGGAAGATTTTTACTAAGAGAAGAGGCATCAGCACAAAGGACACATCCTATTGACTTTAAAGTTATGTTCCTTGTGCTGATGTTTCCGTTTGTGATTTTGGCTGCACTTAGGCTTTAAAGAAGACATGAGGAATGTTGGCCCCACATCCATCTGCATTCTTTTTGCAGGTAGTTGCATTGGGCAAGTGCAGAGAGTTGGAGACAGAAGCTATGAAAGCAGTCTTCTCCTTGCTAGCTGCGATGTTGGGCAGCCACGTAGAAAGTTGGGTACCCTGTATTTTCTCTGAAGATTGAAAAATGTGAAGAAAAAAAAAAAAAAGTGTAATTGTTCCAATTCTACAAGGTATAATTCTATAATGCAACTGACAGGCGGCCCTTCAGTTTTAGGCCAATATACAGTCAAAATGTTTTCATTCATACCTATTATTTTGGGCTAAACTCCATATAAAAAGCTAAATAATGTTATTCCTATGTTTTTCCTTGTTCTATGTACTGTATCTACTTACGAGAACTTATAGATTCACTGGCACAAATGGATGGCAAGTTGTTCCAGGGATTTCCTGGCTGACCATTACAACCATGATCCATAGGCTCCTGGGAGAGTGTTGATACTGCACTGTTATATTGTTGGGCTGCAAAAGGATTAAAACAGAAGCATTTATTGCTGGAAATCATTAGCACAAGTTCACTCTACAATACTGCTGTCTTTTTAGCAATGTGTTCCATTTCAATACTCACAGTAATGTCATAATGAAGATGTGGCATTAAAAACTACGAGTACAGTAATAGCATGAGGGAAAGTCACCTGCAGCCAACCTTTAATTCCACATCATAATAGGATTGTACCATGTAATTCCACATCATTTATTTATTTCAGGTACTTATATAGCGCCGTCAATTTACGCAGTGCTTTACATATCAGTCCCTAACCCTCAAGGGGTGTACAATCTAAGGTCACTAACTTATAGTCATACATACACATACTAGGGCCAATTTGGACAGGAATCAATTCACCTACCAGCATGTCTTTGGACTGTGGGGAGGAAACTGGAGTACCCGGAGGAAACCCGCGCAGGCAGAGGGAGAACATGCAAACACCAGGCAGGTGGTGCTGTGATTGGGATTCGAACCAATGACCCTAGTACTGACAGGTGGAAGTGCTAACCATTTAGCCACTATGCTGCCCACATCATAAAGGATTGCACCATGTAATTTCACAACAAAAAGGATTGTACCATGTAATTCCACATCATAAAGGATTGTACCATGTAATTCCACATCATAAAAGGATTGTACCATGTACCATTAATTCCACATCATAAAATTGTACCATGATTGGATTGCACCATGTAATTCCACATCATAAAAGGATTGCACCATGGTTTTGCACCCTGGATTGCACCATGGTTTTGCACCCTGAGTTCAGCTTTCATATATTCTTCAGTACCTTCAAAGGATATATATTAAAGTTTGTGTGTAACAAATGCCTTTGCATACCCTGACAGCACCTTGTAAAAGTAGCATTGACAACATCACTGTGCTGCACACAGCTTATACGCAGTGGAAAGCTGTAGGTGGGATCCAGAAGGTCTCTCCAGAATAAGTGGATTGCAGAAAATTACAGGGGGAGTGGATATAAAAACCAGTCACACTACATAGAGAGAGATAACAGAAGTGACCAGTTTTATTACAACAAACACCTGCACTGGGGAAAAGTGCAGAAGGGTGACTTACTGAACAGATTTGGAAGAAATACCCAAACGACACAAGGACTCATGGAAAAAATGCACATGCCTTTTATTTTCAGATGATTTTTTGCTTGGCCTGGATTTCAGCTTTACAGTGTTGTTCCACTTTTGCAGTCAAATTTGAGAAAATCCCACTATATGTTTGTTGTGTGTTCCTATTCACAACGCATGCCTAAAATATATGCAAATATTTCTTATCTTTTACATGTTTCTCAGGAGGAATTGTCATGGCTGACGGCAAGGTTTTTTTTTTTTTCTTTTTAAACAAAGTTAGATTGAGCCTGTCCCAAGTGTATCCTCATTACCATAATGCAAGAAGCCAAGCCTCTACACCTTTTACCCTTTGTTAGGACAGGTGGTGTTCAAATATAATTACAATTGATAAGGAAGATCTGTCTGTACAGAACAGACAGGGTTAATTGTGGCAAACACAGCCGCCCAACCCCCTCATAAACAATGAAAACTAACAAAGATTTTGCTCTGTTGGAGGGTCCAGAAGAGAGCAAAAAAAGTTTGGTTGCAATTTTTAAAAAATTCTTCTTAGGGCCCCGCTGGCACTCTTGGCTTCTCCCCCCTGCTGCGTGTCCCCAAAACAAACTGCTTGCTCTGGTTGCGTGATTGCTCTCGAGCCTATAGGACACACAGAGAGCGGTTCGGGTCCACCCCCTCCTCAATGGCTCCCGCTGCGGTGTCTGAGCCATAGAATGCATGAAGGTAAGAAACCTTCAGAACCACTTTAAGGTTGTTCTGCAATACTAGAATTCACCAGCAGGTGCACTTTGTTAATGGGAGGGGGAAAGGCCAATTTCTTTAGTAGGAAGGAAAGAACTCTAATCACTCAAGAAACTATATTATATTAAAACTAAATGTGTGTTCTAGATATAGTTTGATCTTTTTTCTATTACAGAACTGAATATTTCCTTATCATAGACTATCACACTGCATGGTTCCCTCTAAATAACACCATAAGAAAAATAATAGCCAGAACTGAAAGTAACCCTGGCATAAAAGACACACGGGGCCTGACACAGGCAGCACAGTGGATTAGCGGTTAGCATTTCTGCCTTGCAAAACTTGGGTCACTGGCTTGAATCCCAATAACCTGCCTGTAGTTTGCAATTTTCCCTGTGCTTGAGTGGGTTTATTCCAAGTACTGCGGTTTCCTTCCACAATCCAAAGACATGCTGTTAAATAAATTGGCCCTAGTATAGCCAGGTACACACATACACACAGTTTTTTTTGTTCAACCAGCGGGTTGAACAAAAAAACCCAGAAACCCTACAGATCCCAGCATCAACACAAGCAATGTTGATGCAGAGATCTCTCCTGCTGAGCTATTGTATTCTAACAGGTAGACACCCCCCCCCCCCCAGAAGAATACACTGATCAGCGGTAGCAGCCATTGGCTGCAGGAGCTGATCAAATGCTAGTTTTCCAGCATGCCTGTTTGACGGAAGCACATCGTTAGAGTGGGTTCTGTTGAACTGACAGCGCTACACATGCAGAGATCTCTCCTGCTTAGCTATTGTATTCTGACAAGTAGACCCCCCTCCACCCCCCAAAAAGAATACACTGATCAGCGCTTGCAGCCATTGGCTGCAGAAGTTGATCAAATGCTGGTTTTCCAGCATGCCTGTTTGATGGAAGCCCATCATTAAAGTGGCTTCTGTTGAACAGACAGCGGTACACATGTACTGAAAGTCAGACGTTTCCTGCTGAACCAGCCAAGTTTTGGAATTTGTGTACCTGGATTTAGTGTATGCATGTGAGATAGGAAACTCAGATTGTAAGCTACTTTTGGGTAGGGATTGATATGTGCATACAATACATATAAAGTGCTGAGTAAATTGTTGACGCTATATAAATACCTGGAATAAATCAATAAACTGCTGATTTATATCTGAAATACTATTTGACTGGCTGTTACACTAACCCACAATATTCAATACTTTCTGTACTGAAAAGTAAGCAGATCTGGTAAGTCAAGAGAAAAAAAACCCAACAGTCCTTATCTGAATACTACTATATTGGAACATGATAGCATGACAGCTGGGCAGCCTCTGTTTTTTTGCCATTGCAGCTTACTTGTATTATATACAATGTTTTCTTAAACAAACAGATGTGTATTTTTCTTGCATGTGTACCAGTACCTTGGCTACAGAAAAATATAGTGCAGTGTTTTTATGTGTACACTGAGATCCAAAGGGAGTCAGAGTCCCCAGGGATGGCTGCTCTGCAACTACATGTGTTGTAAACTAGAGGACCAAAACAGATCTGCACAAGTGTCAAAAAACACTAATGCCAAAGATACCACTTGTCTTTGCCATAGTCCATCAAACTGCATCTTTTAACAGCAACTCTCATTTTGTATAATATGGTACCCAGAACACCTCTTCTCCGTGCAGAGATAAATGCTATGTAGTACTATATTAAAAAAAAAAAAAAAAAAAAAAAGGATCATCCTGATCATATATATGTATTATTTATTTATTTATTTATTTCAGGTTCTTATATAGCGCCGTCAATTTACGCAGCGCTTTACACATATATATTGTACATTCACATCAGTCCCTAACCCTCAAGGGGCGTACAATCTAAAGTCCCTAACTCTCACATTCATACATATACATACTAGGGCCAATTTATACAGGAGCCAATTAACCTACCAGCCTATCTTTGGAGTGTGGGAGGAAACAGTAGTACCCAGAGGAGACCCACGCAGTCACAGGGAGAACATGCAAACTCCAGGCAGATGGTGCCGGGGTTGGGATGTATGTATTTTTATATATATATATATATATATATATATATATATATATATATATATATATACATACATACACACACACATATGCACATGTTCAGTTAATAGGAATATATAGTCTTTTTGTGCTTTTTCTTTTCTTTAGAAACACCTTTACATAGGGAAAGGCAGCCTTATATACCAAATACACTGCTCACAAAAAATTAAAAGGGAACACTTTGAAAACACATCAGATCTCAAAAAGGAAAAATACCTTGCTAGATATCTATACCGATATGGACCGGGTAATGTGTTAGGAATGTAAGGCTGCCCCATCGTTTGATTGAAATGAAAATTATTAACCTACAGAGGACGGAATTCAATGACACCCTGAAAATCAAAGTGAAAAAATTATACAGCAGGCTAGTCCATTTTGGTGAAATTTCATTGCAGCGACTCAACATGGTGCTCAGTAGTTTGTATGGCCCCCACGTGCTTGTATGCATGCCTAACAACGTCGCATGCTCCTAATGAGACGACGGATGGTGTCCTGGGGTATTTCCCCCCAGATCTGGACCAGGTCATCAATGAGCTCCTGGACAGTCTGAGGTGCAACCTGGCGGTGTCGGATGGACCGAAACATGATATTTCAGAGGTGTTCTATTGGATTTAGATCAGGTGAGCGTGGGGGGGCATTCAATGGTATCAATTCCTTCATCCTCCAGGAACTGCCTGCATACTCTCGCCACATGAGGCCAGGCATTGTTATGCACCAGAAGGAATCCAGGACCCACTGCACCAGCGTAGGGTCTGACAATGGGTCCAAGGATTTCATCCCGACACCTAATGGCAGTCAGGGTGCCATTGTCTAGCCTGTAGAGGTCTGTGCGTCCCTCCATGGATATGCCTCCCCAGACCATCACTGACCCACCACCAAAACGGTCATGCTGAACGATGTCACAGCCAGCATAACGTTCTCTACGACTTCTCCAGACCCTTTCATGTCTGTCATATGTGCTCAGGGTGAATCTTCTCTCATCTGTGAAAAGCACAGGGCGCCAGTGGCAGACCTGCCAATTCTGGTGTTCAATGGCAAATGCCAATTGAGCTCAATGGTGCTGGGCAGTGAGCACAGGACCTACTAGAGGGCATCAGGCCTTCAGGCCACCCTCATGAAATCTATTTCTGATTGTTTGGTCAGAGACATTCACACCAGTGGCCTGCTGGAGGTAATTTTGTAGGGCTCTGGCAATGCTCATCCTGTTCCTCCTTGCACAAAGGAGTAGATACTGTCCCTGCTGATGGGTTAAGGACCTTCTACGGCCCTGTCCACCTCTCCTAGAGTAACTGCCTGTCTCCTGAAATCTCCTCATGCTCTTGAGACTGTGCTAGGAGCCAGAGCAAACTTTCTGGCAATGGCACATATTGATGTGCCATCCTGGAGGAATTGGACTGCCTGTGGAACCTCTGTAGGGTTCAGGTAATGCCTCATGCTACCAGTAGTGTCACTAACTCTAGCCAAATGAAAAACTAGTAAAAAACGGCCAGAAAAGATAAGTAGGGAAAAAAATGTCAGTGGCGTCTACCTGTAAAACCATTCTTGTTTTGGGGGTAGTCTCATAGTTGCCCATCTAATGCACCTGTTAATTTCATTAACACCAAAGCAACTGAAACTGATTAAGAAACCCATCTGCTACTTAACTGACCAGATCAATATTCCAGGAGTTTAATTGACTTGATGCTAAACTTTGATTAATAAGTGTTCCTTAATTTTTTTGAGCAGTGTATACAGTTAGGTCCATATATATTTGGACACAGGCACAATTTTAGTTTTTTTCATGTATTTACCAAAACATATTCAAGCTATAGTTATATAATGAATATGGGCTGAAAGTGCACACTCTCAGGTTTAATTTGAGGGTATATACATCCAAATTGGAGGAAGGGTTTAGGAATTACTGCTCTTAAGAGTAGCCATCCCCCCCTTTTCAAGGGACCAAAAGTAATTAGACAATTGAATAAAAAGCTGTTTCATGGCCAGGTGTGGGCTATTCCTTTGTTATTTCTTCATCAATTAAGCAGGTAAAAGGTCTGGAGTTGATTCTAAGTGTGGTATTTGCATTTGGAATCTATTACTGTAAACCTACATCATGCGTTCAAAGGAGCTGTCCATGCAAGTGAAACAGGCCACTGTAAGGCTTCAAAGACTAAACAAACCCATCAGAGAGATAGCAGCAACATTAGGAGTGGCCAAAATCAACAGTTTGGTACATTCTGAGGAAAGAAGAATGCACTGGTGAGCTCAGTAACATAAAAAAAGGCATGGACGTCCACGAAAAACAACAGTGGTGGATGATTGCAGGATCCTCTCTATGGTAAAGAAAAAGCCATTCACAACATCCAGACAAGTGAAGGACACTCTCCAGGAGGTGGGCAGATCATTGTCAAAGTCTACACTCAAGAGAAGACTTCACAAGAGCAAATACAAAGGGTTCACCACAAGGTGCAAACCATTCATAAGCCTGAAGAATAGAAAAGCCAGGTTAGACTTTGCCAAAAAACATCTAAAAAAGCCAGACCAGTTCTGGAAAAGCATTCTTTGGACGGATGAAACTAAGATTAATCTGTACCATAATGATGGGAAGAAAAAAGTGTGGAGAAGGCTTGTAACAGCTCATGATCCAAAAGCACACAACGTCATCTGTAAAACATGGTGGACACTGTGATGGCATGCGCATGCATGGCTTCCAGTGGCACTGGGTCATTGGTGTTTATTGCTGATGAGACAGAAGACAGAAGCAGCTGGTTGAATTCTGCAGTGTTTAGAGATATACTGTCAGCCCAGATTCAGCCAAATGTAGCAAAGTTGATTGGACGGCGCTTCACAGTACAGATGGACAATGATCCAAAACACACTACAAATACAAAAGCAACCCAGGAGGTTTATGAAGGAAAAGAAGTTGAATATTCTACAATGGCCGAGTCAATCACCTGATCTCAACCCAACTGAGCAAGCATTTCACTTGCTGAAGGCAAAACTAAGGGCAGATAGACCCACAAACAAAGAACAACTGAAGACAGCTGCAGATAGAGCCTGGCAAAGCATCAGAAAGGAGGAAACCCAGTCTTTGGTAATGTCCATGGGTTCCAGACTTCAGGCAGTCATTGCCAGTAAAGGATTTTCAACAAAATATTAAAATGAACATTTTATTTATGATTATATTCATTTGTCCAATTACATTTGAGCCCCTGAAAATAGAGGGACTGTGTATAAAAATGACTGCAGTTCCTAAAATGTGTACTTGATATTTACGTTCAACCCTTTGTGTCCAAATATATATGGAGTTAACTGTATGTCTAGTTTGCAGTGCCACGGTATGGTTGTTCCTTACTGCTCATTCTCAAAATGCAAGTCCATACAAGGCAGCTAACACACTGAAAATGTCCTCCGTGTGATGAATATCTTTTCTCAACTTAAAGTGGAACTGCACTGCATCTGAGCACCACAAACCAAAAATGCTATTTAATTCATTGTTAATATTCAAAGCATACTCCCCCATCCATCCATGCGTGCATGCTTTATTTTGGTGAGAAATAATTTTGAAAAACACCCCCTGGCAGTGGCCATCTTGAGTAAGGGCAGCAGATGATTCATGTAGCATTTACTTCCTGGAATCCATCTGCCCTTAGTTCTAGTATTGGCTGAGCTAAGAACCCTCCCTTCCCTTCTGAAGACTCCTGGGATGTATGACATAATTTGCCTAGGTATACAGTAGGAACCAGGAAGTAACTAAAGAAATGTAAAAAAAAAAAAAAAAATTAAGCAAGTAAATATGATTTACTTTCTTATCCATTTACTAATGCTAGCAGCATAAGGATTAAAAATAATGTTGATTGAGAGGGTGAAGTTCCATTTTAAGAATGAGAAAAACTGCAAAGAGCTACCGGGAGCTCCTTCTAGTAGGCTATATTTAACTAAATTACAAAAATATTAAAGATCAAACTAGAGAAAACAAAATGAGAAAGCCATAAAAAGAAAATCACTTTAAAAAGGTAAACACTGTGAAAAATTAAAAATGCAGTCACTAAAAATATACTAGGATTCTAAAGCTGAAGCCCCTAACCTAGATGTATACATCTGTTGGTTCTGTCTAATGACAGACTAAAAGATTTCATTGTACTATGCAGGGCAGTACTGCACAATCTTCTGAAGTGAAAGGGACTTTTGAAGGGTGTTAGATATCCGTACTTATGTCCACCTTGGTAAAGACAATCTCACCAGCTCTCCCCCAGGGCTCCTTTGCCAGGTGTCAGAAATACCCAGTGGAGGAGATTTACTAACTTGAGCACTCAGAATCTAGTGCAGATGTGCATGATAGCCGATCAACTTCCAACTTCATCTTGTTAAATTAAAGCGTAGAATCACCCAAAACAGGGAAGCTTTGCTTGTTTGTGCCCTCCACTGCCACATTTGGCACTTTTTTTTTGGGGGGGGGGGGGGTAGCGGTTACCTGGTTTGGCCCCCCACCTTCCCCCTGCAGTCACTCTTCCCCCAGAAGACTACGGGACCAATCACAAGGCACAGCGTAGCACACACATACGCAGTATGTGGCTCTGAAGCTGCAAGGCTTCACTTCTCATTTCCCTCACTTGCAATGCCGGCGCCAGGAACCCGGAGGATAGTGAAGAACTAGTCCGGGTGACGACAGCGTTGGACCCCTGGACAGGTAAGTGCCTCTATATTGAAAGTCAGCAGCTACAGTATTTGTAGCTGCTGACTTAATTTTTTTGGGGAGCCTGGAGCTCATCTATAAGCTTTGACAAAAAAAACCTGGAAGCTGATTGGTTTCTATGAAGAGCTGCACCAGATTTTGCACTCTCCAGTTTTTAATAAATCCCCCCCAGTATGTCTGATTATCAGGGAGCCAAAGTCTAAGACCAAGAAACCCATCTATAGATTTTCTTTAACTACAGGTTCTGCAATAGTGTACACCCCCTTCCCTCTGCACATCAACATTACCTTTGGATCCCACCACTTCTATAATGCAGCTTTAGAGGTGTGATAGACATATAAGTTCAATTCAGGTCTAAGGCAGACATTGCTAAATATAGCTGAATCAAGAGCTAGCAAACAACTATGAATTTAACTCCTCTCTGATGAGCCTTCTTGTGAACAACATGAGACTTCAGACAGAATCTCTAATTAGCCTTTTGAGGATATGACACAAGTGAAAGTCACTAAAATAGAGCATGGAATTATGAGAATCTTTTGAATACACTCACAGGAATCAGATCCTTCAGAATCCAATCCTTCAGAAGAATTAACAGCATCACTGTTAGAATTGCCATCAGGTCTGTACTCTGGAACAAAGAGGAAAGATATTTATATGGGGGTCTCAGGACAATTGTCTTCAAAAATCTAATATATTCTCTTTATTAAAGCTGACATCTATAGAAAAACGTATTATATTTTCTTCTGAATCCAAAAAGAGATTTTACTAGTATTCAGGAATTGTCTAGAATATGAGCCATGTATGGTCATCATAAGCTTCTTTTGTGAAACCGGGTACCAGAAGTTACCTGCACATACCACTGATAGTTTAATAATCCTCCCTCAGCTCATAAATTTAAAGGTAGAGCTTCAACACAACCTAGTAACATGGCATAATGTAATAGGGACACCCATCAATGGTACCCACATTGCGCTGCGGAATGCGGAAGCCATGTCAGAGAATCAGCTTTCAAAATAGTAAATAAAAAAAACTTACATATGGATATAAGAGGCTTCTACAGCTCAGATGAATTTTCACTTAAAAGAGGTCTATGTATGTTGCTGTAATCATACTTTGGTCTGTACTTGATTGTTTATACAACCACAACAAACAGTTTGTTTTTTAGGCTCCATTCACACTTGTACGGCTTGTCATGCGACTCTGGACATCAAGGTCACATGACAAGTTGCAGTCCATTCTTTTCAATGGCACCTGTTCAAATCTGTGCAACTTAGTCTCAGTGATTTTGAAAAGGCGCCTGCACTACTTTGGTGCGACTTTATATGCGACTTTGGTCCAGAGAATGAAAAGGTGGATCAAAGTCACACCAAAAGTTGCATCAAAATTGAGCTCTAAAGTCGCACTGGAAATCGTGCAACTTGGAGACACATTAATGTGAATGGAGCCTTAATGAAGTAAGAGTAGGTATATTGGAGACATCTGGCCACACCTATGGAAATTCCAAGTTTTTCCTTTGTTCAGGTTATACAAATACTGCAACAGTTCATGCTTATTTTTCTCTGCTAGTATTCTGCTGGGATTCAAACTGTATGGGACTTGATAATTACTGCATATTTTCTTTTGGGCTGGACTGAGTATTATGTATGCAGTTTTTGTAAAGATACACTCAGGATGAGGCCATCCCCAACTCTCTTGTCATTTATCCACTGAGCAGGACTTTCAGATTTATCTGTTACTCAGTTTATAAAGTTTGCTCAGTATTTTTCATGGACAACTTGGCAAATTTACAGTCATGGCCAAAAATACTGGAACAGAAAAAAATACTTCACCCGGAAAATTGCAATTACAAATGTTTAGGCATTCTCATGTTTATTTATTTTGTTTGTATTGGTATGACGCAAAAAAAGTGGAGAAACAAAAAGCCAAATATGACACATTCCAAGCAAAACCCCAAAAATGGACTGGACAAAATTAATGGTACCAGATCTTAATGTGTCTCTGTCCACTGTGTGCAACATTGTCAAGAAGTTTACAGCCCATGGCATTGTAGCTAATCTTCCTGGACGTGGATGATTGGAGAAAAACTTGATCAAAGATTGCAATGAAGGTTTGTTTGAATGGTGGCTAAAGAACCTTGATCAACTTCCAGACAAATTCAAGCTGACCTTCAGGCACAGGGTACAACTGTGTCAGCTCGCACTATACATCACCATCCGAATGAAAAGGGACGCTATGGTAGGGGACCCAGGAGGACTCCACTGCTGACATACAGTGAAGGAAATAAGTATTTGATCCCCTGCTGATTTTGAATGTTTGCCCACTCACAAAGAAATAATCAGTTTAAAAATAGTCAAAAAATTCTAAAGAAATACATGTCTAACAAATGATGCACTGATTTGCATGTTCATGAGGGAAATAGGTATTTGATCCCCTATCATTCAGCAGGATTTCTGGCTACCAGGTGTCTTTCATACAGGGAACAAGCTGAGATTAGAAGCAGTCTCTTAAAGGGAGTGCTGCTGATCACATTTTGTTACCTGTATAAAAGATGGAAGGAAAATGATAAATGTTTTCCAAAAATGTTTACAAATAAAATATCTGAAAAGCGTGGAATGCATTTGTATTCAGTCTCCTTTACTCCGATACCACTAACTAAAATTTAGTGGAACCAATCACCTAATTAGTAAATAGAGTCCACCTGTGTAATGTAATCTCAGTATAAATACAGCTGTTCTGTGAAGCCCTCAGAGGTTTGTTAGAGAACATTAGTGAACAAACAACTGCATCATGAAGGCCAAGGAAAATACCAGACAGGTCAGGGATAAAGTTGTGGAGAAGTTTAAAGCAAGGTTAGGTTATAAAAAAATATCCCAAGCTTTGAACATCTCATGGAGCACTGTTCAATCCATCATCCAAAAAATGGAAACAGTATGGCACAACTGCAAACCTACCAAGACATGGTCATCCACCTAAACTGACAGGCCAGGCAAGGAGAACATTAATCAGAGAAGCAGCCAAGAGGCCCATGGTAACTCAGGAGGAGCTACAGAGATCCTCAGCTCAGGTGAGAGAATCTGTCCACAGGATAACTATTAGTCGTGCACTCCACAAATCTGACCATTACGGAAGAGTGGCAAGAAGAAAGCCATTGTTGAAAGAAAGCCATAAGAAGTCCCATTTGCAAGAAGTCATGTCGGGGACACAGCAAACATGTGGAAGAAGGTGCTCTGGTCAAATGAGACCAGAATTGAACTTTCTGACCAAAAAGCAAAAACACTAGGTGTGGCGGAAAACTAACATTGCATATCACCCTGAACACACACCATCTCCACCGTGAAACATGGTGGTGGCAGCATCATGTTGTGGGGATGCTTTTCTTCAGCAGGGATAGGGAAGTTGGTTAGGAAGAAAACCTGTTAGAGTCTGCAAAAGACTTGAGACTGGGGGGGGGGGGGGGGGGGGGGTCACCTTCCAGTAGGACAACAACTCTAAACATACAGCCAGAGCTACAATTGAATGGTTTAGATCAAAGCATATTTAATGTGTTACAATGGCCCAGTCAAAGTCCAGATCTAAATCCAATTCAGAATCTGTGGCAAGACGTGAAAACTACTGTTCAGAGATGCTCTCTATCCAATCTGACAGAGCTTGAGCTATTTTGCAAAGAAGAATGGGAAAAAATGTCACTCTCTAGATGTGCAAAGCTGGTAGAGACATCCCCAAAAAGACTTGCAGCTGGAATTGCAGCAAAAGGTGGTTCTACAAAGTATTGGCTCGGGGGGGGGGGGGCTGAATACAAATACACGCCACATTTTTCAGATATTTATTTGTAAAAAATGTTGAAAACCATTTATCATTTTCCTTCAACTTCAAAAATATATGTGCCACTTTGTGTTGGTCTTCACAAAAATCCCAATAAAATACACACATTTACGTTTTTGGTTGTAACATGACTAAATGTGGAAAATTTCAAGGGGTATGTATATTTTTCAAGGCGCTGTATTTTTTCCAAGGGGTGTGCTAACAAATATAAAATTGAGGGTTCCAATAATTTTGTCCAGACCATTTTGGGAGTTTTACATGGAATGTATCAGATTTGGCTTTTTGTTTCTACACTTTTTTTTTGTCATACCAATACAAACAAAAGAAGTAAACTTGAGAATGCTTAAACATTTGTAATTGCAACAATTTTCTGGGCAAAGTGGTACATTATCTGTCATGACCATGTCTGTATGAGAGTATTTGGATACATATTGTTGCTCACCTCAGATGACTTTCCGGTTTATTAATGGTTTTAAGGGATTAAATGACATGTTTGAGTCCCTCACTGGTCTTTTACTGACACTTCGACCTGAAATACATACTGTATTTTTATGTTGAAGAAATATACAGGAGTTCTGTGACTATCCTACAACTCTTTCATTTAAATTTTTTTATATCCAGCATTCAGGACTGGATACCGTAGGGCTCTTTTGAACAATTCTTAAAGAGGACTGTACATTACATTATGGTTTTTTTAGAGCAATTACTACCTTGTACATGTATTATATCAGGGCTTAAAATTTCCAAGTCCTGGAGCTACTAGCCAGGCCTTAGACTTACTCGCCACCAACAAACACACACAGACAGAGACACCTGTACACACACACAGACATGTACATACATACACACACACACACACACACACACACACACAGAAACATGTACACACACGCACAGAGACACATGTACACACACACACAGACATATGTATACACACACAGGCACGTACAGACACGCATACACACAGATGTACATACACAGAGATACACATGCACAGACACATGTATGTACACACACACACATACATGCACACCCCCCCCCCCATAAAAAGTTGCAGTAGTTCGTTGTTCACTCACAGAGCCGGGTACTGCACTCTAGGGGGAGGCAGAGAGCACAGCACACACTCCTTGCTTTGCTTTCACTGCGCTCAGCTATTGAGCAGTCTGACGGCTCCCAGTGCCAATGACAGATCCGGCCTGAGCTCCGAGCCTGCTCAGCAAGACGGCCCTGGGGGACACACTTGCCCCCACCATAATTTCCACCGCCATTGGCGAGCAGGCAAGTGGAAATTTCAAGCCCTGTATTATATGGTTATTTCTTTTATCTCTGTATCCACTATTATGTTAGGATTTACAGTTAAGGTGTAGGGAACTATTGGCTGAGATTTGGTTAACTTTATCAGACTCTTGGTGTGTGTGAACTGATTTATCAGTATACTCTGTGTATAGTGCATTTTACCTTTGGGATTTAGAGTAAGACTGTTTTATCTGGCTGAGCCCTTTTGGCATGGCTGCTGTGTCATATCTGCCATGATTGTAGTAGGATTATATATTCTTTACTGATTTAGTGTTGGAGTATATGTCTGAAGAACATTTATTGGCAAGTGTTTGCAGCAAGGCTGCCATGTCCCTTTTTTTTTACAATCTCTCCAGATTTAAGAGTAGCATTTCTGCATAGAAAATAATTAAAAAAAAAAAATCTATCATCTGTTTAACGCTGGTTTAAAATCCTGTAAGTTCACACTGTGGCAGTGTCTGAAAAAGGGCTTTTCAGTAGGCAGCTAAGCATTTTGAACTGAACTAATGTGCAGCAATCATGAGTGAAATATCTGGGACGTCATTGCAATGCAGCTCCTTTAATGGGCAAAGGATTGCGGCTACAGCATGTTTACAGTCTCCCCTGGCTGTATGTTAGGTTTTGGAGGGCGTTCTGGAAGCAGTAAAACCGCGGCTCAACCACCTGTTTTCACTGCCCCCTGGCTGCCCATGAAAAATAGACCTAATTGTGTTTGAATATAACATGTGTAAACATTTCTGTTAGTATTGTACACATGATGAAATATACACAGTTCTTATGGGGTAGACTAAGCCTTTTATAATTTATAAACATAACACTAAGCCCTGGACAGGGTTCTAAGCAGAGTTTGTAGATTTGGGAGACCTCTGCTAGATTCCCTTGCACATGACAATGAGGCCACAATGATGCCACCTGTTTCGAAGGTGAAGGTTTCTTATTTTTTCTTAAAAGAAAAGGCATATAATATATAGGGTTACTGTGGGAACAATAATTATGAACAGAACAGATTGACGGGGAGACATAGGTAAAGTACATCACAGTCTCTTGTCTTCTATTCACTACATTGAAACTAGTATGGTTGATACTACAGGTTTTTTTTTTTTTTTTTTTTTTTTTTGAAAAAGCAGTATTTTAAGTAAATCCAGAAAATAAGCCAGAGATTAGGAAAAGAAATCTGGGAAATGAAGGGGGATTAAAGTCAAGAGAGGGAAGAAAAGGTGTAGTGAAGGAGAAGCAAAGTTAAAGTGGTTCCAAAGGCTTCAGTGCGTAACTGCCCCCTCAGCCTTCCTGATACTTTAAAAAGCCGATATTGCTCCAGCAATGTGCACAAGAGCAGTCCCTCTTCATTGGCTGAGACACAAAAGCTTGCTCTGAGGGCAATCAGCAGGAGAGAGGATCCAGGAGTGCCAGCGGGGGGACCCAAGAAGAGGAGGATAAGGGCTGGTCTGTGCAAAACCATTGTACAGAGCAGGTATGACATGTTTGTTATTTTTAAAAAAATCTGAACCTTTAGTATCACTTTAAGTTAATGATTTAGTCAACCAAAAAGAACTCAATGTGAGTCCAGTTTTGCATATCAGTAGAAAATTGAGAAGATTTCTTATCAAGTGTACCTGACATCTGCTGTAGAGCTGCTTCTTCTTCTGGAGGTATAAGGAGCAAATTTATAGGAATTGAAAAACTGTTGTCATTGCCCTGCAATAAAACAAAAAAAAAAGTGTTATACACAGCAAAAGCATTTTAAGAAACTGAATGGTCTTGACTTAATCACATTTTGCCGACCAGAGCATTTGACCATACATTCAAAAAATATGTACTGTATAGCTCTCACAAATAGTAAAATTGGGGATTACTTTCAGGAAAATTAGGGCAGGTGTCCTCACAGTAAGCAATAACTAAACCAAAGAAATAGAAAATGGTGAAACAGACACCACCAAAGGCCTAACCCCATAAAAATACCAATATTTATTAACATACAAAATGTAAGCAGTTCATCATAACACAGCCAAAGATCACACTCCTCCCCACCCCATATAAAAATAAAATGACAACGTACTCCCAAGCAAGGACAACCCTCCAAACTATAAAGCAAGCATACAGATAACTGTATTTACAGTGATCCTAGAACCAAAGTCTTCATTAATGAGCAACTCTTCAACCTATTACTAAAACAGGGATGCCCCTTGCCCCCAATCTTATTTAAGTTAGCATTAGAACTGGTGTTAGGACTACTTTATGCATAACTAGAATTTGAATAAATGTCCATTGAAAATTGAAAGGTTGAAATAACCACATTTGCTGACAACCTGCTTATGTATATAAAAGTAAACTCTCTAACTTAGCTCTGTGCCTTGAATAATACAATCAGTGCTAAAGATTTATAAATGAAAACTATAAATATGCTAGTGTATATAAAATGACATTTTTAACTGATTTTAACTGATGTAAGCACAATTTTATAGCAGTTTAATGATAAACTTTACTACACTATGGAGGAGGTCCTCTATGCCTTTCCCCCGGGGAGGGAGATTTATTTTATATAGAGTTCCTTGCTGCCGAATACTTTTGGGAACATCTGGTGTGGTCCGTAAGTCAGCTAAAACGAGAAGATAAGATCTATTTGTGGTACTTCAAGCGTTTATGACCTTTTTTGAGAGAAGACATTGTTACTTGTTTTTTGCACATGATTTATAGAGGCAATAATTTGCACTTATTTATAATCTCGCTAGCGATTCACAGTATTTAAAGGAGAGCGGTATATGTTGTTTGCAAATAGACCAACTATCTCTAGTTTGATAGGTCAATATCACTAGATGGGTAACAAGACAACCCCCAAACCAGGAATAGTTTTACAGGTGGAGGCCACTGACATTATTTTTCCCTATTCATCTTCTCTGACTGTTTTTCACTAGGTTTGCAGCTGGCTAGGGTCAGTGCCACTATTGGTAGTATGAGGCAATACCTGGACCCTACAGAGGTTGCACAGGCAGTCCAACTCCTCCAGGGAGGCACATCAATACATGCCATTTTCAGAAGGTTTGCTGTGTCTCCCAGCACAGTTAAGAGCATGGAGGAGATTCCAGGAGACAGGCAGTTACTCTAGGAGAGCTGGACAAAGCCGTAGAAGGTCCTTAACCCATCAGCAGGACCGGTATCTGCTCCTTTGTGCATGGATGAACAGGATGAGCACTGCCAGTGCCCTACAAAATGATCTCCAGCAGGCCACTGGTGTGAAGGTCTCTGACCAAACAATCAGAAACAAACTTCATGAGGGTGACCTGAGGGCCCGACGTCCTCTAGTGAGCCCTGTGTTCACTGCCCGGCACCATAGAGCTTGATTGGCATTTGCCATTGAACACCAGAATTGGCAGGTCCGCAACTGGTGCCCTGTGCTTTTCATAGATGAGAGCAGGTTCACCCTGAGCACATATGACAGACGCGAAAGGGTCTGGAGAAGCCGTGGAGAACATTATGCTGTCTGTAACATCGTTCAGCATGATCGTTTTGGTGGCAGGTCAGTGATTGTCTGGGGAGACATATCCATGGGGGGATGCACAGACCTCTACAAGACAATGGCACCCTGACTGCAATTAGGTATCAGGAATAAATCCTTGGACCTACTGTCAGACCCTACGCTGGTGCAGTGGGTCCTGGGTTCCTCCTGGTGCACGACAATGCCCGGCCTCATGTGGCGAAAGTATGCAGGCAGTTCCTGGAGGATGAAGGAACTGATACCATTGAATGGCCCCCACGCTCGCCTGACCTAAATCCAATAGAACACCTCTGGGATATTATGTTTCGGTCCATCCGACGCAGCCAGGTTGCACCTCAGACTGTCTAGGTCCAGATCTGGGAGGAAACAACCCAGGACACCATCCGTCATCTCATTAGGAGCATGCCCCGAAGTTGTCAGGCATGCATACAAGCACGTAGGGGCCATACAAACTACTGAGTACCATTTTGAGTTGCTGCAATGAAAGTTTAGCAAAATGGACTAGCCTGCTGCATCATTTTTTCACTTTGATTTTCGGGGTGTCTTTGAATTAAGTCCTCTGTAGGTTGATAGTTTTTCATTTACATCAAAGGATGGGGCATCCTTACGTTCACATTACCCAGCTTCATGAGTGCTGCCGGCACTGAGAAGCTACACTTCACTGAGGGAACCATGAATGCCAACCTGACATACTGAAGCAAAGCATGATCCCCTCCCTTCAGAGACTGGGCCGCAGAGCATCTGTGGGGCATCCTCAAACGGAAGGTGGAGGAGCACAAGATCTCGAATATCCACCAGCTCTGTGATATCGTCATGGAGGAGTGGAAGAAGACTCCAGTGGCAACCTGTGAAGCTCTGGTGAACTCCATGCCCAAGAGGGTTAAGGCAGTGCTGGAAAATAATGGTGGCCACACAAAATATTGACACTTTGGGCCCAACTTGGACATTTTCACCGAGGGGTGTATTCACTTTTGTTGCCAGCGGTTTAGACATTAAAAACTGTGTGTTGAGTTATTTTGAGGGGACAGCAAATTTAAAACTGTTGTACAAGCTGTACACTCATTACTTTACATTGTAGCAAAGTGTGTTGTCACATGAGAAGATATAATAAAATATTGTGTATATATACACACACACACACACACACACACACACACACACGAAAATTGTATTTTTTTTACATTTTTATTGGATAGGTTTTATAGCAGAAAGTAAAAAAATTTTTTTTTTGTTTTTTTTTATTGTTTGATCTGTTATCATTTATATCGCAAAAAAATTAAAAACCCAGTGGTGATCAAATCTCTATTTGTGTGTAAAAATGATATACAGTAAATGTAATTTTCGTTTGGGTACAGCAATTGCCAGTTAAAATATCACAGTGCCGAGTTGCAAAAAATGGCCTGGTCATGAAGGGGGCGAAACCTTCTGGAGCGATTAAAGCACTACATTAAGGTAAAAAATGTTTTGCTACTTGCTGTACACCCCCCCCCCCCCCCCCAAATACTGAGACCTGTATAGATCCAGTGCTGTACCCATTTCCAGTCTTCTCTCCTCTCTATCTAATATGCTTGGCTGAGTGCAACGGGAGCCACTGGCTCTTGCTGCGGTCAGTCAAACCTTATGAGCGGGGGGGGGGGGGGGGGTAGGTTCAGGCTGCGTTGTGTGTTAATAGACTGCATGTCTACTGACACACATATTGGTTTGCTATGGGGGCAACACAAAAGAGGAGGATCTAAGAACACCAAAAGGGGCACCCCAGAAGAGGTGGGCTGCTCTGTGCAATACCACTACACAGGACCATTGCAAAGAGCAGGTGAGTATGAATGTTTATTATTTTTGCTTACAAAATGCCTTTAAGACAGCTTTAAGTTGAGGGTTTAATTTGGCTTTAAATGTACAAAGATAACAAAAAGTGCTACCTTATTGTTTCTCATTTCTGTACTCCATATCGTTCTAGCTTGTGGTGCAATAACTTGGGTGGAAAATGAGTCAAGGTGCAGACATTGCTCAGCCAGGGATTTCAACTCACTGAGCTTCTCTTCACTTGCAATCATAAGTAACTGAGTAAGCGAAATATCTAAAATAAAGATAAGAAAATAAAGTGAGATTACAAAATGTACTCCCGGAAAGAGTTAAAGCTGAATTCCAGGGTAAGCACATATTATCTAAATACAAGAACCATGTGTATTCTTACTTAAATCTTGGCCTGATTTGTGTATTTCTTCCACATTTGTGCAATAATCCTATGTGATTCTTTGCCTTTGTAAAGGAGCTTTCTGTAAAAAAAAGACCAGTCAATGCTGCTCAATCTCCTTGTGCAGGGTGACTGGTCTTTTATGCACTGCCCTGTAGTTTTCAGCCTGCAGTGAATGGTCCTGCTGGGTCCCTCCCACAAGGTAAAATGTAGGTTTGCAAAGGCTGGTGATGCACACTAAAAGGATGACTACTAAGATACATTAAATTAAAATATGCTAACCCCTAATTATTTCCTCTTTTATAAAAAGGAGCATTGCTTATTCACTTACTTTCACTGTGGAAATAAAAGTAAAGGGTACAGTTACAAATAACCACAACACTGCATTGGCATTGCACCTCCTAGTCCAACCAAGTCTATCTCAGCTTCAACAGCTTTTGAATAAGAGTTCAGAGCCTTGCTTCTCTGGCTTGCCAGTGAAAGTCAAAAGTTGTGATTTCTGTACCCTCCCCGCTCTCATCAACATTTTATAAACATATTAGTAGTTTTTATTCTAATCTATATTTTAAAATGCCCGGCCTGCTCACAGAATAATGATCCAGCACTCCAATGCTCCTAAGTATCTGGTGCATGTGCACAAGATAGACAATTACAGAGAATAATGACCCGGCTGTTTTCTCCTTTAGTGCATGTGCTATTTCTACTTGCTTGTTACTATGGAGCATACTTCATACGTGGGTATATATGCAAGCCTCATTTTACAAACCTGCTTCTCTTTTAGGGCCAGTTCACACTATAGAAACACAGTCCGGATGTGGTTTTTGGCGTGTTCCGGGTTTTTTTTTAATGCTTTTTTTTACGCATTCCAGTGCATTTTTTATGCATTACAGTTCATTTTTTCCCCTCTCTTTTTTTTTCAACTTAAATAGGGACATGTGTGTTCCAGTGTGTTTTTTATGCATTTCAGTTCATTTTTTCCCCCTCTCTTTTTTTTTCAACAACTTAAATAGGGACAGTGCATTTTTGGTGCACTCCAGTACGGTTTACCACGTTCCAGTACAGTTCTGCGCAGGAATAATGCAGCATGTTCTACTTTTTTTTTTCTGCAAACCAGAACGCACTGGAACTGCAAGCACTGATGTGAACTATGACATTCACAACCATATAACCTACTTTCTATGCATTTTAGATGCATAAAAAAAAACAACTGAAACGCATGTAGTGTGAACTGGCCCTTAATCCAAGTGCTTATTGCAGGATTCTTTAATACAAAGAATATGTCTCAAAGTAAGTTACCTGTCACAGCTCAGGCTTCCATTTGGCACAGCACACTGGACACTGCCACTGAACGACTTCTAGAAGCTGTGCTGGAGCAGAGGGAGGCATGTCATTGAGCATGGCAATGAAGAAGTCAGCTCTGCCACAGAATTTGTACAGCTTCTGGAAATCAATGGCGGTAGATGGCTACGTTTCCTAGCTTGTTAGTGCACTGGATGTGCAAAACTCAGCAAAAATCAAAATAAAGTGATATTGAAATAAAAGTACATCTGCTGTGAAAATATTGTGATTTATACATATGCAGAAAGACAGCAGAGAGAGCATGGGGGGGAATAGAGCTTAGCTTTACCACACTGACCTGATGAGTTCATATCGGACATAGACTCCTTCTCTTGAAGCTCTGTCATATACATCCTAGAACATAGACAAATATTCTCAAGCACTGGGTAGTTAATTACAAAAATCAATTTGCAGTGTAGGGCCTACTGGGTGAAATTTACCCAGGTGACCTTATAGATTAATGCCAATACTCTGTATCAAAGAAGCCACGATTTCCACATTTTTCAATGATGAAAGATAACCCACTAAAAATCTATACCGATGTTATGTTTGTATAGTTATGCAATTCTACTATAGGATTGGGAATATATTCAAGTTTGAATGAATAATTTTTATGAATTTTTTTTAGTGGTCCTAAAGTCAGATATGTTCTCCATATTAAGTGCATGCAAGTGCAGTAATGTAGAAGTCTATGTGTAACACTTACATGTATTTACTACATCTCAAAGAGATCACAGTACTCTTTTCCTGAAATGGCTCCCTAGGCCAACCTCACCCTTGTTTAGCCATTGGCCGTGAGCAACATCTGTACTAAATTGCTGGCCCAGGGATGATCCAATCATGGAAACCGATGCTTTTAATGCAGCCATTTAGTTTCCTGACTAAGTTTACAGATCATCTCATACATTTGCCTTTGCCTCCGTGAATATCCCAGAAAGTCACAATATGCAGTCTAAGGCTGGCCATACATGGATCGATATTCGCCCGGTTCAGGGGACCAGATGAATTTAGATCCATGTGTGGCCACTGTGATTGATCGACATCTGTTCAATCACCCCGTTGGTATATTCTTTGTTGATCAGCACTGCAGGTTATAGGCAGCAGCGCTGATCTGTATAATCTGATGGCGGGAAGCCTTCCTGCCATCAGAATACAATGACACAGCGGGCAGGATTCCCACATCATCATCGAATGTGTGGACAGGGAAATCAGGTCATTAAATAAAAAAAATGATCCATGTATGGCCAACCTTAGCGAGTGTTCACAAGGGAAGGTGGAATAAGAACATCTTAACCACTTCAATACAGGGCACTTTTACCCCATTCCTGCCCAGGCCAATTTTCAGCTTTCAGTGTTGTCGCACTTTGAATGATAATTGTGCGGTCATGCAACACTGTACCCATAAAATTTTTTTATCATTTTTTTTCCCACAAATAGAGATTTTTTTTGGTGGTATTTGATCATTTGCCCTCCTGGGGATTTATCCCCCTTCATGACCTGGCCATTTTTTGCATTACGCCGCTGCATTTATTTAACTGATTGCATGGTAATGGTAATGCAACGCTGCACCCAAATTAAATTTACGTCCTTTTTTCCCCACAAATCGAGCTTTATGTCAATGGTATTTGATCACCTGTGCGGTTTTTATTTTTTGCACTATAAGAAAAAAAACAAAAGACCAACAATTTTGAGAAAACAAATTATATTTGTGACTTTTTGCTATTAAACATGTCCAATAAAAAAAAAAAATCAAATTTTGTCATAAATTTAGGCCAAAATGTATTCTGCTACATGTCTTTGCTAAAAAAAATCCCAATACATGCAAATTAATTGGTTTACACGAAAGTTATAGTGTCTACAAATGGCGGTATATATATATTGGGATTTTTTTTCATTTTTTTTTTCATTTTTCATTTTTTTACTAGTAACGGTGACGATCAGCGACTTATTGTGGAACTGCGGCAGGCATTCTGACACTGGGGAGAACTGACTTGGTGTCACTGACATCCCCAGTGACACCAAAATAGTGATCAGTGCTAATAAAAAGCACGGACACTGTACTAATGGCACTGGGGAAAAAGGGGTTAACATGTGGGGTGATCAAAGGGTTAACTGTGTGCTGTTTTACATGATGTGCTGTGTCTGTGCTTCACTATAGGCACAAAAAGCAGTGTGCAGGGGCTGACAGGGGAGAGAACTGTATTGTTCCCCCACCCCGTCGGAGATGCTTGGCAATCACCGGGTGGGATCCGGTGATTGACAGCGGAGGCCGCGAGTGATGATTTTGCACACCCGTTCCACCCAGTACTTCTGCTATAGGGTGGACAGGAAGCGGTTAATTTCTACTGAGTTTTTTTTTATTTTTCGCTAAATAAAGAAAAAAAACCCCAAACTTTTGAAAAAAAAAATTTGTTCTTTGTTTCTATTATAAAATTTTGCAAATAAATAACATTTCTTCATAAATTTAGGTAAAAATGTATTCTGCTATATTTCTTTCATGAAAATACCCCAAATTAGTGTATATCATTTAGTCTATAGGTAAGTCTACAAACTATGATATACTGTACACATGTGTATATATATATATATATATATATATATATATATATATATATATATATATATATACAGTTGCAAGAAAAAGTATGTGAACCCCTTGGGATTACGTGGAGTTTTGCATGAATTGGGCATAAAGTGTGCTCTGAACGTCATCTAAGTCACAACAATAGAAGAATACAGTCTGCTGAACATAATACTACACAAACATTAGATGTTGCCATGGTTAATTGCACATAACATGTAAACATTTCACAGTGCAGGGAGGAAAAAGTATGTGAGGCCCTAGCTTAATGACTTCTCCCAGAGCTAATTGGAGCCAGGAGTGAGCCAGACTCCAATCAGTGTGATGATATTGGATGTGTTGCTGACAGCTGTCCTGCCCTTAAAAAACACACACCTGTTTTGGGTTTACTGGTTTCAAGAAGCACTGTCTGATGTGAACCACGCCTCGCAGAAAAGAGCTCTCAGAAGACCTACGATCAAGAATTGTTGACTTGCATGAAGCTGGAAAGGGTTACAAAAGTATCTCCAAAAGCCTTGATGTTCATGTGTTGATGGTAAGACAGACTGTCTACAAATGGAGAAAGTTTAGCACTGTTGCTACTCTCCCTAGGCGTGGTCGTCCTGTAAAAATGACTGCAAGAGCACAGCGCAGAATGCTGCATGAGGTAAAGAAGAATCCCAGAGTGTCAGCTAAAGACCTACAGAAATCTCTGGCACATGCTAACATTTTTGTTGACACATTTACAATAAGGAAAACATTAAACAAGAATGGAGTACATGGGAGGACATCACGGAGGAAGCCATTGCTGTCCAAAAAGAATATTGCAACACGTTTGAAGTTTGAAAAAGAGCACCTGGATGTTCCACAGCACTACTGGCAAAATATACTGTGGACAGATGAAACAAGATCGAGTTGTTTGGGAAAGAACACACAACACTATGTGTGGAGAAAAAAAGGCACAGCACACCAACATCAAAACCTCATCCCCACTGTAAAACATGGCGGAGGGAGCATCATGGTTTGGGGCTGCTTTGCTGCCTCAGGGCCTGGACGGATTGTTGTCATTGATGGGAAAATGAATTCCAGAGTTTATCAAGACATTTTGCAGGAAAACGTACGACCATCTGTCCGCCAACTGAAGCTCCGCAGAGGATGGGTGATGCAACGGGACAATGACCCAAAGCATACAAGTAATTCAACAAAACAATGTCTGCAACAGCACAGAATACGCCTTCTGGAGTGGCCCAGTCAGAGTCCTGACCTCAACCCGATTGAAATGCTGTGGCATGACCTTAAGAGAGCGATTCGCACCAGACATCCCAAGAATATTGCTACACTGAAACAGTTTTGTGAAGAGGAGTGGTCCAAAATGACTCTGCAACTACAGGAAACATTTGGTTGAGTTTATTGCTGCCAAAGGAGGGTCAACCAGTTATTAAGTCCAAAGGTTCACATACTTTTTCCTCCCTGCACTGTGAATGTTTACATGTTATGTGCAATTAAACCATGGCAACATCTAATGTTTGTGTAGTATTATGTTCAGCAGACTGTGTTCTTCTATTGTTGTGACTTAGATGACATTCAGAGGACATTTTATGCCCAATTCATGCAAAACTCCATGTAATCCCAAGGGGCTCACATACTTTTTCTTGCAACTGTATATATATATATATATATATATCTATATCTGACAATCGATCAGTCCTGATGTACCGATGGCCCATCTCATTATTTGAGGCCCGAAAATGCTAGGATAAGAAAAATACCCCCCAAATGACCCATTATTGGAAAATAGACAGTCCAAGGTATTTAGTAAGAGGCGTGGACAGTTTTTTGGAGGTTGTAATTTTTTTGTTACAATATTTTGGAAAATGTAGAAATTAAAAAATTTTTTTTTCCTTTTTTTACATATTGTCACTAGTCCAGTACAGCTTTATTATATAACTGGTGTGGCGGTGATCAGGGACACTGACTGGTGACAGTAGGTAAAAAAAAAAAAAAAATGAAAAGTCATTTTTTTAAAAATTTTTCTATATTTTTTTTTAACCACATGCCGCCCAGCCCATGTATAAATACGTTGGCAGGGTGGCACGGGCAGGCAAAACCACGTTTTAAAACGTGTGTTTTGTAAACAGGTAGGGGGCGTGCACGAGGCGCGCCGCCGCCATACCTGTCCCGCCGATCACAGCCGCGGATGTCAGACGCCGGGTCACAGCCGGTCCTTACCGGCTATCTCCCGGCGATCGGCGGCAATCAGTGACAGAGAGCACAGCTGCAGTAGCTGTGCTTTCTGTCAGTTCCCTGACAGCTCGAGGACATGGTGATCGGGACAGAAGAGTTTCTCTCTCCCGATCAGCCTGTCCCCATCCAGTACACACCCCCGCCCCCGAGTAAAAAACACTCCTCCTCACACAGATAACCCTTCCCTGAAAAATAAAACCCCTTCCTCCCCAGTGCCATTAGTACAGTGTCAGTGTTTTTTTTTTTTTTCGCACTGATCACTGTATTGGTGTCAGTGACCCCAAGTCAGTACCCCCCAATGTCAGAATGTCCGCCGCAGTCCCGCAATAAGTCGCTGATCGCCGCCATAAGTCGCTGATCGCCGCCATTATTAGTATAAAAAAAAAAAAACTAAAAATCCCAGAATCTTTCCCGCCATTTGTAAACGCTATAACTTTCACGTAAACCAATTAATTTACACGTATTGGGTTTTTTTTTTAGCAAAGACATGTAGCAGAATGCATTTTGGCAGAACTTTATGACTAAATTTGATTTTAAATTTTTTTTTACTGGACATGTTTTATAGCAAAATGTTGTTTTTTTCCATCAAAATTGTCAGCTTTTTTTTTTTATAGCGCAAAAAATAAAAAAACGCACAGGCAATCAAATACCACCGAAAGAAAGCTCAATTTGTGGGAAAAAAAAGGATGTAAATTTCATTTATTTTCCGTATTGCATGACCGCGCAATTGTCCGTTAAACTAGCACAGCGCTGTATAGCAAAAAAAATGGCGTACATTGCAGTATCTATACCATAGTTTGTAGACACTATAACTTTCACACAAAGCAATCAATATACACTTATTGGGATTTTTTTTTACCAAAAACATGGAGCAGAATACATTTTGGCCTAAATTTATAACCAACTTTGAGTTTACTATATATTTTTTATAGCTGAAAGTAAAAAATATTGTTTTTTTCTTCAAAATTTTTGGCCTTTTTTTGTTTATAGCGTGAAAAATAAAAGCGCACAGGTGATCAAATACCACCGAAAGAAAGCTCTATTTGTGTGAAAAAAAGGACGTAAATTTCGTTTTGGTGCAGCATTGCATGACCGCGCAATTATCAGTTGAATTAGTGCAGCACTGAGTAGCAAAAAGAGGCCTGGTCATTAAGGGGGTAAATCCTCTGGAGGTCAAGTGGTTAATACATTCTTTTTTTCCACTATTTTTTTTAAACACACAGTGACCAAAACAATACAATGTTACCATAGTAACATTGAACTACTCTAGGCAAGTGATCAGTATTTTTTTTTTTATTTTATTTTTTTATTTTACACATTATTATTGCGAATACCAATGTATTTAATTGATATTTGCAATCATTGTTACTGAATGAAACTGATTCATTCAGTCGTGATTAGCTGTGATTGAGCAAAGCTCATCACATGTTACAGATGGGCTGTGATTGGCCCTGTCTGTACCATGTGACTGCTTTGACCAATCACAGCTAACAATACAATTGTATACAATGGATGGCATTAAAGGAAGCCATCCATTGTATACAATTTGACATGTGATCTGCTGTAATTGGTCATAGCGGTCACATGACACTGGCAATGGGCCGGTGTAGTGATACATCATCAGCTGTATCCCATGGACACAGCCATTGATAGATCGCACCACTGCGCGACCCTGTGGGCGGCTCCTTTTGACAAGATGTCATATGACTCCCAGTCACAAGGAGGAGTTTCAATCTGTTATAGGTCGGGCGGGAAGGTGTTAAGAGATTGTGCTAAGCATGGTCAACTGACTGGAGGTCAAGGACTAATTTTTATCCATAATACATTATATAGTGACATGTCAGTAATTAATTCAATGCAGATCTGGACAGTTACTAACATGACCCCTAATTTAGGAATAAGGGATAATATGAGAATATATTCTATTGCGACAACAGTCTGTTTTGGTTCCATAAGCCCATTATGATATTATTATTATAGAGGATTTATATAGCGCCAACAGTTTGCTCAGCGCTTTACAATATAACGGGAGACAATACAGCAACAATACAGTTCAATACAAAAGGGATAGGCGGGCCCTGCTCCTCGGAGCTTACAATCTAGGAGATCTCGCCATAACTTCATTGAATATTCAGTACCTTTGAACTACTTCATAGTCTAGATCTTGGGCACCTTCATAGTATAGTATATATTACCAAGCAACCAAAACATTGTAAATACACCAACTTACTGCCAAAGTTCCTTGATCTTTTTCTGTACTCCTGGCTCCACATTACTGAAACAGCAGAAGACATTGCTTAAAATTTTAACGTATCTCTATTTCAAAATCAAAGAATGTAATTTTTTTTAATACATACACATCAACAATTTCAGTATTTGTTATAATTACCTAAACAAATGCCAGAATTAGCCCTCTAAAGACAGCCATAAATGGGTAGGATTTCTCTGAAATTTTTAGGAACAGAATGTTCTAAGAAAGTTTGTTAGTTTTACTAATCATTAGTGGGTCAAACTGAAGTTCATTTTCAACTGCAGTGACAAAAAAAAATCCAAAGGAGCAGGATGGAAAATGTTTCTTGAACGAATGAAGTTCTAACAGTGTATGTGGTTTTTACTCAGTAAAGTTGTGATTGGCTTTTTTGGTCAAAATCTAGTGGATGAAAAAGTAAAATGACCATGTATACTTTATGTCCAGAATTAATGTGTACTGGATTGCTTATGGAATCATTGTGGGTCTGTGTGCGATATAACACAACAGTATATACACATTCTGATGAGAATTGTAGATAAGGCTTTCTTCTGACCATACAACTTGTTCATACAAAATATTTTCAGATTTTTTTTTTTGCACTTTAAAGCAAATAAATGCAGTTCATGGTTAAAAGCATTGCCTAGCAATATGATCTGTCCACAATGACACAAAGTAGTGTGTTCTCATTCACATTTTGTCAGTGAGGTCAAATTTATAGGAACTTTCTCAGCAAGTCTTTAAATTCATCTGAAGGAAAGAAGCAAAAAACACACTTCAAATGCCTGGTGAATGAAGATTACAGAAAATCGGAGGCTGAATTAAACATGTTCAGGGAAGTTAACATCTTCATCAAGAGTTCTCAGCCACCCTACATGACCTAATTCACCAGGTGCAAATCATCTGAGAATTCATCCATGCCATTGTATGCCAGCAAATGTAATTTCACTCACCAGTTCAGCAAGTCCACTGTGTTTATCTCCATGGCCAGTATACAAAATTGTTCAATGGTCAGATAAAATTCACAACATCTCTGAAATTAATACAAATCTTGTAAGTTGCCTAATAAAACATGCACATTGCTGTCCTATCACAAATTTAACAATACTTTTAGGCCTCATGCACACTGAGCATTTAGCCTGAGATCCCAGCATTTTCACACAGACAGGCACAGACACACCATCCAGCCCCGCTGTTGGCAGCCTGTGGAAGTCTATGAGAGGCTGAAAGCTGCTATGGCTCAACACATAGAGTTGTATGCACTCAGAGATGAATGCCCAGAATCTAAAATTCTTGTGTTCCAGGCATTCTTGCCTGGGCGCATAGGGCCCTAAATGTTAGAACCGCTTAGGACACCGTCCAGCCATAGAAGCAGTCAGTACTTCATAGACTTTTACAGGCTTCTGGGAGAGGGGCCTGAAGGTGAACCTTTACCTTCCACCTACACAAACATGCCAGGATTGGCCACACACAGGCTAAATGCCTAGTGTGCATGTGGCCTTACACTAATAACACAAGCTATCACTGCCTCCCTGCTGCCTGGTACTACAAGCATTTATTTTTACAGTTATAAGACTGGATTCTCAAAATGCATCACTAGGAAACATTTCAATACAAAGCTCAAAGTGGAACCCCTATATGTAAAAAAATCACTGAACTTACCAGCTGTGTGTGTGTAGGCAGGGCTATGCATTATAGCTGTACACCTTTTAAATGACCCTTTAACATGCTAAAAATGTGTACCCTGATAAACCTTCAAAGCTTGAAAATGTGTGTCAATTCAAGGACAGGCAGGCTGTGCTCCCAGCGCAGTCAGAAAACCCACCACACTGAGTGGGATGTGCTCTCATGCCTATTGTGGTCAGTATTAAATAGCAAAGCACGGAGCCTGGCAGAAACACAAGGGATTTCACAAAAAGGAAGCAAGACAAAACAGAACAGGATACTTTTTAACATAAGTATATGGTACAACATGCACATATCAGGAATATGAAATGGTGGAGTAACATACTTTTTAGGTGCTGTGTGGTACAGCAGGAACACCAGCTCCTTGGAGGCTACACCAGTGGACAGTAAAAGTCTGCATATGCGGACTGTGTTTAAGTAAAATGGCTGTAAAATCCTGCAAAAATCCTTTTATAGAAGGCAACTATCAGCAATACAATGTGTTCTTAGAAAGGATAATATATTGCTAAAATACTTGCCAGTACTTGGTAGAAGCAGTAACTGTTCAGGGTATTCATACAGCCAATGCTGCCAGCTGTCAGAATACAATAGCTAGTTGATGGTGTTGATGGAGGAATCTCTCAGCTTTTTCTAATTCAGCCCAACATGTATGTTCAGCCCAACATGTATGGCTAAACTTTATCTTCATAATGTTTTTGGTTTACACATTTTGTCAAACAAGCTTTGGGACCTTTCACATACTGTAGTTTAACACCATTCAGCTAATTATGTGACTTGTGAAACAGTTGGTTGCACAAGAGCTTTTTTAAAAGACAGCAAAACAGGTGAAGAATAGTGCAATAAAGTCTTTTCCAAACCATTTAATAATTAAAAAAAAGGAAAACGATTTTTTCCACTTCAACATCATGGCCTATAAAATCCCTGTGTAGATCCAGGCTGTTACATTACAAAATGTGGAAATGCCCAAGGGTAATTTTAATCATATATTTTTATTGAGATGAACTGAGCGGTCACAGTATACTCACCGGATCTTCTTCGGCAGCAAAGGAGAGTGTGAATTTTTTCAGGATAACAATCTTGTTCTTGATATGGGCTAACGTGAAATGCTCATCCTCTCTGAAAAACAATAAGCCAAAGGGCACATTAGAGTGTACCGAAATTCCTTTTTTTTTTTTACTCTCAGATCTCTCTAATCAGCAATTACAAGTACTTCCAAAGATCTGACCTCAGTTGGGTGGTAGCCAAAATATAGCCACAGAGTTCTTAAATAGTAAGATATTGTTATCTACTATGGTATGAAGAAAATTCTCTTAATATGTTAAACCAATCCTGTGCTGTGATCAACTAAATTATAACAAAATAAAATTAAAAATAGTGGGTCACCTACACATTACACATACTCATACCAATGTGTCAAAGTAAATCCAAAAATATAGAATAGTGAAATGATCATTTTCCCCTGATGAAGCCATGTGACTCGGTGGCGTAACGCATAGGGGAGGGGCTCTGACGTCACGTCGCTTAAAGGAGACAGGCAACACACAGAAAGTATAGAGCAGAGATTACAAATGAACACTGTGGATTGATTTTATAGCGGTTTAAAACGATTTTAAACTACAATTACATGTGAGTGCACTACTGCTTGTTTAATTAATGTTTTAAAAAGAAGATAAGGCATTATGTTTTTCATTACTCTTTATGGTACATTTATCAGGTTTGCATTATCATCGGTGTTCCTTTTGAGGACAGGACAGGAAAAGATGAGAAATCTCCCCAACAAGATCAATGAAAAAAATGTTTTAATATAGCGGGGAAGGGTTAAAATTTCTGACAATGTTTTTAGTGCTGCCTATGCATTCCTGCCCTGGTCATGACAGCTTCCCGTCATCACGTCATCGCATTTCCATGCACCAATGCTGTGGGGCACTATAGTGCCCCTCCCCCAGAAGCTGATACACTTTTGTGCATGCACAGAAACCCAAGGCGATGGTGCAGATGGCTGCAGCTCTCAAAAAGCTGAAGAGACCAGTGACATACCGGTAAATGCCATTTTTTAAAACACAGCAGTGCAAAAGTGAGGGAGGGGGAAGAATGGGGCATTCATGTGTGGTTCAGTTCCACTTCAACTTCCACTTTTGTTCTGGTGACGACTCTAAAATTTTTTTATTTTCATCGCTTGCTGTCCCGGGGCAGTTACAATAGTGACCAGAACACATAAAGAGGGCATATCTCCCTAACAAGTACACAGACAGCAGTAAAAGCTAAACAGGTTGCAACCTTTCCATATTCTAGCAAAACTAAATGAAAAAGAAGAAACATTTTGGCTATATATACACTTCTGGCATTATCTGTCTAGAGTTCTCCTTTAAAAGCAAAGGAAGCGCATGAAAGGAGGAGGACAAGAGCTGACGAAAAAAATATAGGTTCAAACCGAGCATTAGAATGAGGAAGAAAGGGGATTTAAGTGATTTTGAACGTGGCATGGTTGTTGGTGCCAGACGGGCTGGTCTGAGCATTTCAAAAACGGAGATTTTCACGCACAACCATCTCTAGGGTTTACAGTGAATGGTCCGGAAAAAAGAAAATATGCAGTGAGTGGCAGGTTCAGGCTGCTGGTGGTGGTGGTATAATGGTGTGGGGGATAGTTTCTTGGCACTAGCAAGGTGTACCTAATAATGTGGCTGGTGAGTGTATAAGGAGGGGGCTATAAAGGATGTAGAATAAGACAATGTATCATTAGTGTTTATATATACCGTTCTAGAGTTTCCTGAGCCTCCCTTGTGATGATAGCTCTGATATAGTACTGCCGATCCGAAATATGTACAACAGCTCCTGGATACTGACACTCTTCTGTCCGTTCTGGCATTTTTAGAAACTAAAGCAAAAAAAATATGCAAACGTTATAGCATTAGCAAAATCACGAAAAAGAAAAATTCTAGTCTACCTTGAGGTATGTATTTGTAACACAATTAGTAAAAACACTGGGCCTCCTGGAAAAGTCAGTCATACTGTAGGTCATTTGCAGCACCCCCAAAGCCTGACCAAAACATTTGCCTGCCTTGTCGTATATATAGGATGCTCGTTCCCAGTGTCAGAGGAGCAAGTGCTTTCCTGGTTCAAAAGCTGCTCATGAGCAATGCACTCTCTCTGCCCGTTGTAGCAGCGTTGAGGTCAGTGGGTTTTTTTTTTAGCCTATGGGGGCCTTTTGTCTGCATAGTTACTTTATTGGAAAAGGTGAACTTAAAAGGATAAGTTCACCTTTGGGAACATGTTACATGTTCCTCCTGTTTTTAGGGTGGAACATGTAACATGTCCTCAATCTTGAAGCCGCCGTCCGATCCAATCCCCCTTCCTCACTGTGAAAGAAGTATGGGATGTATGAGCAAGCAGATACACTGATAATCTGCAGGAGACCTGCATGGCACCAGTGATTTGTTTTTACCTGTAAAAAATGTGAATTTATTATTTTTTTTGTAGAAAGGTGAATTCATCCTTTAACCGTTAGCCGCCCGGCCAATGGCCGTTTGGCGGCTTGAAAAGCGCTGCAGCTTTCCGGGTGCACGCCATTTGGCGTCCCGCACCGCGGTTTGCGCGGTTGCAGAGCGACGCAGCAGTGCAATCTGTCACCGCCCGTGCACCTTGGACACGGCCGATGACAGATCCGAGTACCGACTCCCGTTGCCAGGACCATGTGACCTGCTGTGACCAATCACAGCAGGTCACATGACAGTTGTATACAATGGATGGCTTCATTCATGATGCCATCCATTGTATACTAGTGCCTAGCTGTGAATGGTCACAGCTAATCACATGCACATGTCATGTGATTTTACCAAATCACAGCTAAGCACAAAAAAAAAAAAAAAAAAAAAAAAAAAAAAAAAAAAAAGCTGAATGAATCGATTTCATTCAGGTAAATGCTTGCTTATAGCAAAGTAATTCTTTGCTATAAGCAAATTGTGTAAAAAAAAAAAAAAAAAAAAATACTGATCACTTCCCCAAAGTAGTACAGTGTTACTATGGTAACATTGTACTATTTTGGTCATAGTAAAATATGAAAAAAAATCTTAAAAAAAATAAAAAAAAATGTAATAAAAAATTAAATATAATAAAAAAATTAAAAAAATTAAAAAAATATATATATATATTTTTTTTTTCATACTGTCACCAGTCAGTGTCCCTGTTCACCACCATGCCAGTTATATGATGACGCTGTACTGCCTGGTGACAGTATGTAAAAGAAAAAATAGTGAAAATAATTTTTTTAATTTTTTCATTTTCCGAAAAATTATGACAAAAAAATACAACTTCAAAAAACTCGCCATGCCTCTTATGAAGTACGTCGGACCTACTCTGCAAAAAGGGGTCATTTGGGGATTTGTACTGTTCTGAAACCTTATTAGATTCTGTCAGTACTTCAGGTTGATCAATATTCAGATCTATACCCATAGTTTGTGAACTCTATAACTTTCCTACAAACTAAAAAATACATCCTAATTTGGGTTATTTTCTGTAGCAGAATTCTCGGCCTAAATTTATGAAGAACAATTATTTGTATTTGTAAACTTTTATAACAGAAACAAAGAAAAATGTGTTTTTTTTTTTTTCAAAATTTTTGGTCTTTTTTTGTTAATTTAGCAAAAAATAAAAACCCCAGCGGTGATTAAATACCACCAAAAGAAAGCTCTAGTTGTGTGAAGAAAATGATATAATTTTAGTTTGGGTACAATGTTGTATGACCGCGCAATTGTCATTCAAAGTGTGAGAGCGCGGAAACCTGAAAACTGGCAGGAAGGTGTAAAATTGCACGGTATTGAAACGGTTAACCTTGAAGCAGACATTAATCAGATCTTCACTTCACATATAAATCATCCTGGTGCTTGTGTTTAAATGTCAGCGATTGATTCACCACCATTGAATGTTTAGTGAAAATTGTTCACTGTTTTTATAAATTGGTATTCATTTTAGGCTACATTCGCACTGTACAAAGAGCACATTCTGTAATTTCCAGCAGCAGGAATTTGCGGGCATTTAGCCCATATAAAACAATGGCAGGCTGATGGTGGGTACAGCTAGTCAAGACTGTTCACAGCAATTAACTGTGGTGATCATGGTTGGATTGTAAAAAAAAAAAAAAAAAAATGTCTCAGCATTCTTCAACAGATCGCATGAAATTTGAACACAACATTCTTTCTGATCTTCTGTCAAGGTTCAAATCACCATCTTTGCAGAAATCTTTCACATTCCCAAATCCTCCATTAGAATCTACTGCATGGTTTCCCTGTTCCTGTTAAATTCTTCTGCTGTCATTTGCACACTCAATCATTGATCTGAGCATACAAGGGTTCACTCTCTGTTCACATTTGTATCCATCCTTTGTGTTTTTGGCTGCCCATCTCTTGTGTCATGGTGGACATCTTCCCGCCCTTCCTTAAACCACCTATGCCAGTCAAAAACACTTGATTTTTTTCATGGAATGTTCACCATAAGCCTCTTGTAACAGAGCTAAAGCTTTGCTCACACTTTTTGCAAAATTTGATGCAATCTGCTGCGCCAGACTCCTGTCAGTCATTTTCCACTAACAGCACAACACAGACAAGTGTTATTTCTTCGACTGCTCTGTAAAGACTGAGCCAATTGGTTCTGTGACCCAGGGGAATGCAAGTTAGAACATGTCAGAACACGCTCGAGTGTGAATGGCTGTGTGACTTGCCACCATAGTGCTACTACACAGGCATTCTGGGAATTAACCTGTCACACCTTGTATATAACACATACACTATATTGCCAAAAATATTGGGACACCCCTCCAAATCATTGATTCAGGTGTTCTAATCACCTCCATGGCCACAGGTGTATAAAATCAAGCCCCTAGGCATGCAGACTGCTTATTCTAGAAACATTTGTGAAAGAATTGTTGCCCTCAGGAGCTCAGTGAATTCCAGTGTGGTACCGTGATAGGTTGCCAACTGTGCAAGAAGTCCATACATGACATTTCCTTGCTACTAAATATTCCACAGTCAACTGTTAGTGGGATTATAACACAGTGGAAGCAACTGGGAACAACAGCAACTCAGCCACGAAGTAGTAGACCATGTAAAATGTCAGAGCGGGGTCAGCGTATGCTGAAGTGCACAGTGCGCAAAAGTTGCCAACTGTCTGCAGAGCCAATAGCTAAAGACCTCCAAACTTCATGTGGCCTGGTCTTCAGATTAACACAACAACAGTGCAGAGAGCTTCATGGAATGGGTTTCCATGGCCGAGCAGCTGCACCAAGTGCAATGCAAAGCGTCAGATGCAGTGGTGTAAAGCATGCCGCCACTGGGCTCTAGAGCAGTGGAGACGTGATCTCTGAAGAATAGTACTTGCCTGAAGAATAGTACTTGCCTGACTGCATTGTGTCAATTGTAAAGTTTGGTGGAAGAGGGATTATGGTGTGGGGTTGTTTTTCAGGGTTTGGGCTTGGCCCCTTAGTTCCAGTGAAGCATACCAAGACATTTTGGACAATTTCATGCTCCCAACTTTGTGGGAACAGTTTGGGGATGGCCCCTTCCTGTTCCAACATGACTGCACACCAGTGCACAAAGCAAGGTCCATAAAGACATGGATGAGCAAGTTTAGGGTGGAGCAACTTGACTAGCCTGCACAGAGTCCTGATCTCAACCCGATAGAACACCTTTAGAATGAATTTGAGCAGAGACTGCAAGCCAGGCCTTCTCATCCGACATCAGTGCCTGGCCTCACAAATGCTCTTCTGGAAGAATGGTCAAATATTCCCATAGACACACTCCTAAACCTTGTGGACAACCTTCCCAGAAGAGTTGAAGCTGTTATAGCTGCAAAGGGTGGGCCAACTCAATATTGAACCCTACGGACTAAGAATGGGATGTCATTAAGGTCCTTGTGTGTGTAAAGGCAGGCGCCCCGATGCTTTTGGCAGTATAGTGTATACAGAAAAGTCATTGTTTTGTAAGGAACGGAATGGCTGCAGCTATTCACACACACCTGTCATTTCAAATGAAAGATTCTGCAGATTTGGCCACTGAAATCTCAGGATGTGCTAATCCCCCATCTAAATGTAGCATATGGGGTGTGGATTGAAGCTCAGGTTTCACAGCTAATTTATACAGTAGCTGCTCACAGGTTCAAGTCAGGTTTACATCAGGTTCAGGACAGGATTAGCTCAGGATCTTATCCTGTTCACACATATGCGGTTTAGGAACAGTTCCCATAGAAGTCAATAACCTGTAATCCGCACCTGAACCGGAAGCCACTGCTCAGAAATCGGACATGATTCTTTTTAATCACTTCCCGTCCGGCCCATGTATATAAAACGGCCGGCGAGAGCATTGCAGGAGCGGTTGGCCATTTATAAACATCTCCACTTCCCTGCCTGTGCGCGCTCCCTGGGAGAGCGCGCACCGCGAACCGGACACAGTGAAACACCGATCGCTGTACGGGACCTCTGTGTGAGGTCCCGATCACATGAATAGTAGTAAGCAAGATGTCACTTCTGACATCATTGCTTCCTACTAGTGAAATCTGTGAATGATCACAGAGGTCACATGGTACAAGGCTATTCACAACAGCCTTGTACCATGTGACAAGCTGTGACCAATCACAGGTTTCACAGTATTTCTCAATGGCTGCAAGAATACAGCCAGAGAGAAGGAGAAAATATTGCTTTTACAGCCTTTATGGGTGTAAAAGCAATCTGTGTATGAAAAAAAAAAAATCTTCATCACCCCCCACAAGTAGTACAGTGTCACATGTGACACTGTACTGCTAGTGTGACAGTATGTTAAAAAAAAAAACAAATAATATAAAAAAAAAAAAAAGTCAAAATCTTTTTAGAAAAATTATAATTTTTGGTTATAAACTAATTTGGGTTTTTTTTTTTTACTAAAAAGATAGATGAATACATTTTGGCCAAGATTTATGAGAAAGATTATTTATTTGCAAAATTGTATAAGAAAAACACTTTTTTTTCAAAATGTTTGGAATTTTTAATTTACATAGCAAAAAAAAAAAAAAACCCAGTGGTGAATAAATACCACCAAAATAAAGCTTTACCTGTCTCAAAAAAATGCTAAAAAATTCATATGGGTACAGTGTTGCATGACCGCGCAATTGTCATTCAAAGTGTGATAGCGTTGAAAGCTGAAAATTGGTCTGGAGAGGAAGGGGGTGAAAGTGTCCGGACTTGAAGTGGTTAAAACCGCAGTGAATCTGCACCGGACACATGTAAACAGGCACCATAGGAAGCAATGGTATTTTGCATATCATGCGGATTGGATGCGGTGCAAACCGCATCTAATCCGCATATATGTAAACGGGCATGCAAGGATAAGTTTACCTTTGGGAACATGTTCCACCCATTTTTAGGATGAAACATAAAACATGTTCGCAATGCTGAAGCCACTGCCTGCTGCCCTCTACCCTGTGACAGAAGTACAAGGAGAGGTTCCCCGTACTATCTGCCAGATTTGAAAACAGCATCATTCATTCACAGACTTCCATGAATGAATGAACTGCTAGTCCTGACAGCCTTAGAGGCTGTCGGCTTGTAGTTTTCAATGAACTACCATGACACTGTGGAATGCCGTGGTAGTTCACTGAATCTTCCTTTTAGTATATCTGCTTGCCCATACAGGCAAGCAGATATATAGAGAGATGTGCAGGGGACCTGCATTGCAATGCTTTACAGGCTCCTGCAGACAAGTATAATAATTGCACATTTTTTTTACGTGCAAAAAAAAAAAAGTGCATTTTTTAATTTTGTGCAAAAGGTGAACTTATCCTTTAAGACTAGGCTATACAAAAAACATTCCTTGAATCTAGATATTTAGACTAATTCTACAACTCGAATTAAATATATTTGCAGTATGTAACTGTTTTCTGTTAAACCCTCCGAGAGTCAGCTTTCATACCCCTTCATGCCCTGTAATAAATATTTCCCTGTGCTGGCAGCAGGGAGAGGAGTCGGGCTTGCATCTGACAGTTGAGGTTCAACCTTACTCCTCCCTGATGCCGAACAATCCCCCCTCCACCACCACCAAAGAGTGATTTAATCAATATTGCTTTTGCTCCCTGAAAAACTCTGTTGATTAGAGCAGTGATAAGAAGGGTCAGACAGAGAGTGTGTGAGAACAGCAGTCTGAGTGTAGCATTTAACCACTTGCCCTCCAGAGGATTTACCCCCCTTCCTGGTCGGGCCATTTTTTGCAATACGGCACCGTGTTACTTTAACTGACAATTGCGTGGTCATGCAACGCTGTATATAAATTAAATTTATGTCCTTTTTTCCCACAAATTGAGCTTTCTTTTGGTGGTATTTGATCACCTCTGTGGGTTTTATTTTTTGCACTATAAACAAAAAAAGACTGACAATTCTGGATAAAAACCCAAACAATATTTTTGGCTTTTTGCTATAAAACATATCCAAGAAAAACATTTTAAAAATCAAATTTCATCATAAATTTATGCCAAAATGTATTCTGCTACATGTCTTTGCTAAAAAAAAATCCCAATACGAGTAAATTAATTGGTTTACGTGAAAGTTATAGCATCTACAAATGGTGGGATATATACTGGAATTTTTATTTTTATAAAAGTAAAGTTATAGCGGGACTGCGGCGGGCATTCTGACACTGGGTGGGAACCAACTGCCACTGACATCCCCAGTGACACCAATACAGTGATCAGTGCTAATAAAAAGCACTGACACTCTACTAATGACACAGGGCAGGAAGGGGAGATCAAAAGGGTTAACTGTGTGCTATGTGTGTTTTACTATATGTGTTGTTTTGCTACAGAGACATGCTGCTTTGTATTTCTCTGCTGTGCAGAGAAATACAAAGCAGCATGTCCTTGCTGGCAGGAGAGAGACCTGTGTTGTTTACACAAGGTTTATCCCCTGTCAGCTTTACTCGGTGATCACCGGGTGCCGGTGCGGAATCTGCGTCCGAACCCGGTGATTGACATCCCTAGCCACCAAGGACAGCGCGGGTGGAGCGGCATGCGCCCCCTACACAGAAATGCAAATCACGTATATATACACGTGATTTTGCGCAGCCTTGCAGCAGTAGTTACACTCTAGGGTGGCAAAAACAAAAAAGATAAGTAAGTTTGAAGTTTGGCTGTATGGCCTATTAGGTAGTTATTGTACCAGTAGCCGTTTAGTATTGCACTGCTCTTGCAATTTATAACCCATTAGCCCATATTGTATTGTTTTGCATGATATGGTTTTATTTTTCCACTATTTTTGTACTGGGATCTAGTGCTGTATCTTATATTTTTTATTTGAAAACCTCAATAAACATTTTGTAATGAGAAAAAAAAGAAGAGGCATGTTCATTACAGTATATGCAGCCTGACTGCATTAGAATAATACAAAAAAAAAAAAAAAAAAAAAAAAAAAAAAAGAGGGTTCAACTGGGCTTTAATACAAATATAAACTAAAATCCATGGAATTCAAACACCAAAATAGCTTACCTCAACTACCTGGGCAGGTGCTGGTTTAAGCATGAAACTTTCTCCTTTATATTTTGTAATTGCGTCAAGAATCCAAGGGTAGCCAATTGAAGACCTAGCTGGGGCCATTTTATTTCTACAAAATGTTCTGTTTAAAAACAGAGAAAAAAAAGTGATGAAAACAAGTAAAACACATTTGATGAACATGAATTGTTATGCAAAGATATGCAAGGAATTTTCAAAACGGATAGTTTCCGGGGTGGTAATGAACTGTCAGAGATGTAAGAATACTGATGAAGCAGAGATTGGTGACAGTGGAAGAAAAAAACAATATGTAAGTATTCCTTTCTAATATCGATCTTCAATATACATCTACAAATATACAAAAGTATTATAGAGCATATTATTATACAGTATTTATATAGCGCCAACGGTTTGCTCAGCGCTGTACATTATAATGGGAGACAGTACATGAGACAGTACAGTAACAATACCTTTCAGTACACAAGGGGTTCGAGGGCCCTGCTCCTTGGAACTTACAATCTAGGAGGGAGGGGATAGTGGTACAGGAGGAAATAGCTGTGGGGGATGGAGTGGTAGGAAGATTGTGAGGAGTTCAGTAATTAGCTGAGGGCGGGGTAGGCTTCCCTGAAGAGATGGGTTTTCAGAGTGCCCTAAATGTGAGGAGAGTAGGTGACAGCCTGATGGATTGGGGTAGGGCGTTCCAGAGGATGGGGGAAGCCCTGGAGACGGGCATGGGAGGAGGAGACCAGGGAATTAGAGAGTAGGCGGTCTTGTGAGGAGCGGAGAGTACGTGTTGGGTGGTATTTGGATACCAGATCGGTGATGTAGTTTTATGAACAGCTTTATACGTCAATGTTAGCATTTTAAATTTTATCCGTTGGGCAATGGGAAGCATATGCATAGAAGCCACAAAAAAAAGACAGACATTACAGTTCAAAATGTAGCTAAACATCAAAAAATCACGTTTGTGGTCCATGTTTTGGGATACTTTTTCCCACTTCTTGTTTATTTTATAGGTATCAGAAAGTACAGGAAGTAAGGGGAAATCTCCCCAAAAGACACACACAACATTCAACTTAAGCTGCCCATACATGGATCGAAATTTGCCTGGGGCAGCAGGGACTGGCCGATTTTTGTATGGGCCATGTATGGGCAGTGTGGTTCTACAGAAGGTGATCTACCAATTGCTTTCTGTACAACTGCCTTGTTGGAAAATTTCCACTCGATCAGCACCACAGGCTATAGCTGGCAGAGCTGATCAGTGTATTCTGACAGTGGGAAAGTCACTGTCAGAATACAACTCAGAGGGAAGGATTCCTCCATCCACATCAAATGTGCAAATGCGGGAATTGGATCAGTTTTTTTCATTCAACCCACTGGATGAATGAAAAAAAATTGACTCATCTATGAGCTCCCTAAATCTTCTAGCAGCACTTGAAAGAATTAGAATATTTGTCTATGTTTGTGATACTTCTCACTTCCTGTTTATTTTATGGGTGTCAGACAGAACAGGAAGTGAGAGGAAATCTCCCCAGGGAGGACACAGACAGAGATAAAAACAAATCTTCTTGTAGACTGTGAAGGTTAGGACTTTGTTTGTGGTACTTCTGCTAACTTCCCATTTTATAGGTGTTAGACAGAATGGGAAGTGAAGAGAAATCTCCCCAAAGGGGACACCAACATAAATAAAAACACATCTTCTTGTAGCATGAGAAAGGATAAGACTTTTCTCCACATTTTATTGCTTGCTGTATCCCAGAAGGGAGGGGTTAGGTCTTTTGTCATCTCTGTTTGGGATACTTCTCTTCTCTTCCAGTCCTTTTGATGGTTGTCAGACAGAACAGGAAGTGAGTGGAACTCTCCCCAGGGAATATGCCAACAGAAGAAAAAACAAATCTTGTAGAATGTGAAGGTTTAGGACTTTTGTGGCCCATGTTTAAGATACTTCTCCTAAATTCCTATTTTGGAGGTGTTAGACAGAACAGGAACTGAGGAGAAATCTCCCCAGGGAGGACACTGACAGAAATAACAAGAAATCTTCTTGAAGAATATAAAAGGTTAGAAATTATTTCAACAGTTTATTGCTGCCTGTAGGGCTTTTGTCATCTCTGTTTGGGATATGTCTCCTCACTTCCTGTTCATTTGATGGTGTCAGACAGAACAAGAAGCAAAAAGAAATCTCCCCAGAGGGACACAGACAGAAATAAAAACAAATCTTCTTGTAAAATGTGAAGGGATATAACTTTTCTCTACATTTTATTACTGTCTGTATCCCAGAAGGGAGTGGTTAGGGCTTTTGTTATCTCTGTCTGGGATACTTCTCATCACTTCCTGTCCATTTGATGGGTGTCAGACAGAAAAGGAAGTAAGGGGTAATATCCACAAGGAGGACAGATACAGAAATAAAAACAAATCTTCTTGTAGAATATGAAAGGTTAGGAATTTACTCCACATTTTATTGCTGTCTGTAGAGCTTTTGTCATCTCCGTTTGGGATATGTCTCCTCACTTCCTGTCCATTTGATGGGTGTCAGACAATACAGGAAGTGATGGAAAATTTTCCAGGGAGGACATAGACAGAAATAAAAACAAATCTTCTTGTAGAATGTGAAGGGATAGAACTTTTCTCTACATTTTATTGCTGTCTGTATCCCAGAAGGGAGGGGTTAGGGCTTTTGTCATCTCTGTCTGGGATACTTCTCATCACTTCCTGTCCATTTGATGGGTGTCAGACATAAAAGGAAGTGAGGGAAAATCTCCACAAGGAGGACACTGACAGAAATTAAAACAAATCTTGTAGACTGTGAAGGTTTAGGGCTTTTGTGGTCCACATTTAGGGTACTTCTCCTGACTCCCAATTGTAGAGGTGTCAGACAGAATGGAAAGTGAGGGGAAATCTCCCCAGGGAGGACACTGACAGAAATAAAAACAAATCTTGTAGAATATAAAAGGTTAGGAATTTTCTCTACATTTTATTGCTGCCTGTATCCCAGAAGGGAGGGGTTAGGACTTTTGTCATCTCTGTCTGGGATACTTCTCATCACTTCCTGTCCATTTGATGGGTGTCAGACAGAAAAGGAAGTAAGGGGGGAAATCTCCACAAGGAAGACACTGGCAGAAATTAAAACACATCTTCTTGTAGACTGTGAAGGTTTAGGACTTTTGTGGCCCACGTTTGGGGTACTTCTCCTGACTCCCAATTTTAGAGGAGTCAGACAGAATGGGAAGTGAGGGGAAATCTCCACTGACAGAAATAAAAAAACAAATCTTCTTGTAGAATATGAAAGGTTAGGCATTTTTCCCCACAGTTTATTGCTGTCTGTAGGGCTTCTGTCATCTCTGGAATACATCTCACTTCCATATGATGGGTGTCAGACAGAACAGGAAGTAATGGGAAATATCCCTAGGGAGGACATAGAAATAAAAACAAACCTTTTTGAAGAATGTGAAGGGATAGGACTCCCCCACCCCCTTTAATTGCTGTCTGTATCCTAGAAGGGAGATTTCCCCTCACTTCCTGTCCAGTGACAGGTGTCATATAAGAGAAGTGATGGCGAATGTCTCCAGCTGAGACTAAACTGACTCCAGCTCTTTCTTATCCAATAAATAAACATTTGAGTGTATTTGGTAAATACGGGAGCAGCTCTTCTACCTCCAGCAATCCAGCTGTCACCCTGGAGGAGTCCTCAGACGACACTGATCACACACCAATCGGGAACACCTCGGGATCGTCCAGGAAAGGCTTTCCTCCGACATCGCACCATAGTCGCACAACGACAAACCGAAACTATCCCCCGGACACAAGCATGTTTACTTCCCAGGCGGCCATGCTGGTTTTGGGAGAACGCAGCCTGCCCAGACCGCGGCTCGCCCACATCAAATATGGCGTCCCGGGGCTCAGGGACAAGGTGACGTGTATAGAAGCGCGGCCAGGTGTGTGGAAGACATGGAGGAGAGTAACCCTCATCCCATCTCTATACACAACTTCAGTGACAAGATATGTGACAGAGTTGTCCACTTCCATGTGATGAGTCTGCAGGACTGCTTCCTGGTGTGGGTCGGCTTCTCTCCCCCTCCCTGAGGAACCTGGCGGTGGCCATGTGCAGCAGATTTGTAAGTCCTTGACTGCCCGTGTTCATTATTACCGTGAGCCGGGCTCCTGTGATTACCAGGAACTGGCCACTGCTGATGGTAGGAGAGCCCGGGGGCCAGGTCACAGTAAGCCCTACGATCACCAGGAGCCGGCCACTGGGCTCAACCTAGGATCACCGGGAGCCGGCCACTGGGCTCTCCTATACGGCTTACCGGGAGCCGGCCACTGGGCTCTCCTATGCGGCTTACCGGGCCGGCCACTGGGCTCTCCTATGCGGCTTACCGGGCAGGCCACTGGGCTCAACCTAGGATCCCTGGGAACCGGCCACTGGGCTCTCCTATACGGCTTACCGGGAGCCGGCCACTGGGCTCTCCTATACGGCTTACCGGGAGCCGGCCACTGGGCTCTCCTATACGGCTTACCGGGAGCCGGCCACTGGGCTCTCCTATACGGCTTACCGGGAGCCGGCCACTGGGCTCTCCTATACGGCTTACCGGGAGCCGGCCACTGGGCTCTCCTATACGGCTTACCGGGAGCCGGCCACTGGGCTCTCCTATACGGCTTACCGGGAGCCGGCCACTGGGCTCTCCTATACGGCTTACCGGGAGCCGGCCACTGGGCTCTCCTATACGGCTTACCGGGAGCCGGCCACTGGGCTCTCCTATACGGCTTACCGGGAGCCGGCCACTGGGCTCTCCTATACGGCTTACCGGGAGCCGGCCACTGGGCTCCTATACGGCTTACCGGGCCAGCCACTGGGCTCTCCTATGCGGCTTACCGGGCCGGCCACTGGGCTCAACCTAGGATCCCTGGGAGCCGGCCACTGGGCTCTCCTATGCGGCTTACTGGGCTGGCCACTGAGCTCAACCTAGGATCTCCGGGAGCCGGCCACTGGGCTCTCCTATGCGGCTTACCGGGAGCCGGCCACTGGGCTCTCCCTATGCGGCTTACCGGGAGCCGGCCACTGGGCTCTCCTATGCGGCTTACCGGGAGCCGGCCACTGGGCTCTCCTATGCGGCTTACCGGGAGCCGGCCACTGGGCCACTGGGCTTCCTATGCGGCTTACCGGGAGCCGGCCACTGGGCTCTCCTATGCGGCTTACCGGGAGCCGGCCACTGGGCTCTCCTATGCGGGACCGGGCCGGCCACTGGGCTCTCCTAGGATCTCCGGGAGCCGGCCACCGGGCTCTCCCATACGGCTTAGCGGGAGCCGGCCACCGGGCTCTCCTATGCGGCTTACCGGGAGCCGGCCACTGGGCTCTCCTATGCGGCTTACCGGGAGCCCGGCCACTGGGCTCTCCTATGCGGCTTACCGGGCCGGCCACTGGGCTCAACCTAGGATCTCGGGAGCCGGCCACTGGGCTCTCTATACGGCTTAGCGGGAGCCGGCCACCGGGCTCTCCTGGCTTAGCGGGAGCCGGCCACCGGGCTCTCCTACGGCTTAGCGGGCCGGCCACTGGGCTCAACCTAGGATCTACGGGAGCCGGCCACCGGGCTCTCCTGTACGGCTTAGCGGGAGCCGGCCACCGGGCTCTCTACGGCTTAGCGGGAGCCGGCCACCGGCTCTCCTGTACGGCTTAGCGGGAGCCGGCCACCGGGCTCTCCTGTACGGCTTAGCGGGAGCCGGCCACCGGGCTCTCCTGTACGGCTTAGCGGGAGCCGGCCACCGGGCTCTCCTGTACGGGCTTAGCGGGAGCCGGCCTACCGGGCTCTCCTGTGCGTCTTAGCGGGAGCCGGCCACCGGGCTCTCCTGTGCGGCTTAGCGGGAGCCGGCCACCGGGCTCTCCTGTGCGGCTTAGCGGGAGCCGGCCACCGGGCTCTCCTGTGCGGCTTAGCGGGAGCCGGCCACCGGGCTCTCCTGGCGGCTTAGCGGGAGCCGGCCACCGGGCTCTCCTGTGCGGCTTAGCGGGAGCCGGCCACCGGGCTCTCCTGTGCGGCTTAGCGGGAGCCGTCCACCGGGCTCTCCTGTGCGGCTTACCGGGCCGGCCACTGGGCTCAACCTAGGATCTCCGGGAGCCGGCCACCGGGCTCTCCTATACGGCTTAGCGGGAGCCGGCCACCGGGCTCTCCTGTACGGCTTAGCGGGAGCCGGCCACCGGGCTCTCCTGTACGGCTTAGCGGGAGCCGGCCACCGGGCTCTCTGTACGGCTTAGCGGGAGCCGGCCACCGGGCTCTCCTGTACGGCTTAGCGGGAGCCGGCCACCGGGCTCTCCTATACGGCTTAGCGGGAGCCGGGCTCTCCAGCAGCCAGCCACTATTACTTAATATTACTATTTACAGTGCAATCTGAAAATGATGACTTCCATTCATTGAATGGGAGCTCCCACTTACTAAAGTGATCAGTGCTAGGGGCTCATTCACACAGTTGTGCACAGACTAGGCCATGTGCCTTACATCCTATGACCTCACTTCTTACCAGCGTGCTGCAATGGTGTGTGCTGAAAATAAAAATAGGACGTGTTTTTGCGCAGCAGACTGCATCACACAATATTGCATCACAGTACGCTGCCACACATTTTTTTTGCACTTGATTGGTTATTCTTTGCCAAAGTAAAACCTTAGCATCTTCACTAAATTCTGGGGAAAATTCTCTTTCAAGGTGATTATTAACTATTTCAGACTGTTTCAGAGATATACACAGAGTAGAAGCAGAGACAGCAGTATGTGTTGACCTTAGCTAGGTGTGAGTTGCTCATTAACATTTCTTTTGTTTCCAAGGATGGGAAAGGTGTCTGGTGGAGAGAGTCATTAAGGTCACCTGGCAGGGGGTCTTCATGAGGAATTTGAGGTGTGAATGGTCATTAACATATCTTTTGTTTCCAAGGGTGGGAGAGGTCTGAGGTGTGAATTGGTCATTACCAAGGTGTGTGACAAGCTTGGTAGGAACATCCTGTGTTCAGTGTTTTGTCCATCTGAGTACCTTGAAAAGGCTTTGCATGCATTTTTCATGATGAAAAAAGGCTCTGGACAGCATTGCAAACTGGAAGAGTTAAAAAAACATTTTTAACCGCAAACACTTATAAACACGATTTGCCGCGTTTACAAGCATTTTTTGCATTTGAAACACTAATAAAATCGACTGCTGAACGCAAGTTTTCTGCGTTAAAAAAAAATGACTGTAAACTCAAATGCCTGTAAAGGACTGTAAACGACGATGTGTACATGGACACATAGGAAAACATTAGGGAGAGTTCAGGGGCTGCTGAAAAAATGCTGAACAGCTCCTAAATGTGAGTTTATCAGCTGCAGTGTACATGAGCCCTTACCTTTAAGTCACCAACTGCAGCTTTTAATGCGGTGGTTGTCTCCATCTGGTGGATTCTGCCGAAACTAACATTTCATAGCAAAAAATGTAGACTTTTGCAGGCCATAGACGGGAAGAAAACCGGATGTTTTTTTTAACAAAAAAACGAAAAATCAGTCGTTCAATAGGCCGATGTTACCACCAACAGTAAAAACAAATTGGCCGATTTTTCTTCCCGTCTACTGCCGGCATTTATTTCCTTCTGTGCCTGCAGAGAGCTCCGCTATTATATTTGACATTAAAAAGTATTGCAGTTGCAACAATGTATCTATTTCTGATACAGATGGGTTTTTTTCCGGATACAAATAGATACATTGTTGCAACCGCAATACTTTTTAATGTCAAATATAATAGCGGACTGGATTTCTTCTCCTTTCTCTTCTTCTTCTTTCCCTGCTTCCTTCTGCTTCCTACTTCTTTCTTCTTCTTCTCTCATGCGCAGATTTTTTATCGGTAAAAAGATTGGCCGATTTGCCCATCATTGCTGCGAAGATCGGCAAAACCGGCTGATTTTTTTCCAACTTTACCGATAAAAAAAATCTGACAAAATCCAGAAAAACGGCCGACCAATTAAACCATTAACGGTGCGAAAATGCGAAAAAATCGGCCGGTTTTTTTTTTTTTTTTTTTGAAGAAACTGAAAAGCTGCAGAGGCTGACGTTTCTTGACTCTCTTTGGTTTGAAAAGTCAAAGTGAAGTCAGAAAATACCTGATTCATTTATTTGTTCCAGGATGCTTATTCCAAGGGTATTGAAGCCCTTGGATCACCATGACAGCCAAGACACTAGTATTTTCAAGAAGAGAGCTCAGCAGTGACAGATTCCATATTTATTTCAGATGTTTTTAAAGAGAAACTTGACCACTCTGCCTTTCTTTTTTTAAACACCTCTTACCTTTTTTGCTGTGATATGCTAAATTCACTTCTTCTTCTTCTACTTCTTCTTCTTCTCCCTCCTCCCTCCTCCCTTCCTCTTTGTCTTCCTTCCTTCCTTCCTTCTTTCTTCTTCTTCCTCCTCTTCTTCTTCGTCTTCCGTCTTCCTTCCTCCTTCTTCTTCCTCCTCCTCTTCTTCCTTCTTTCTTTTCTTCTGCTTCCTCCTCTTCTTCCTTCATCTTCCTTCCTTCTTTCTTCTGCTTCCTCCTCTTCTTCCTTCGTCTTCCTTCTTCCTTCCTTCTTTCTTCTTCCTTCCTCCTTTCTTCTTCTTCCTCCTTTCTTCTTCTTCCTCCTTTCTTCTTCTTCCTCCTTTCTTCTTTCTTCTTCCTTTCTTCTTTCTTCTTCCTTTCTTCTTTCTTTCTTCTTCCTTTCTTCTTTCTTTCTTCTTCCTTTCTTCTTCTTTCTTTCTTCTTCCTTTCTTCTTTCTTTCTTCTTCCTTTCTTCTTTCTTTCTTCTTCCTTTCTTCTTTCTTTCTTCTTCCTTTCTTCTTTCTTTCTTCTTCCTTTCTTCTTTCTTTCTTCTTCCTTTCTTCTTTCTTTCTTCTTCCTTTCTTCTTTCTTTCTTCTTCCTTTCTTCTTTCTTTCTTCTTCCTTTCTTCTTTCTTTCTTCTTCCTTTCTTCTTTCTTTCTTCTTCCTTTCTTCTTTCTTTCTTCTTCCTTTCTTCTTCCTTTCTTCTTCCTTTCTTCTTCCTTTCTTCTTCTTTCTTCTTCCTTTCTTCTTTCTTTCTTCTTCCTTTCTTCTTTCTTTCTTCTTCCTTTCTTCTTTCTTTCTTCTTCCTTTCTTCTTTCTTTCTTCTTCCTTTCTTCTTTCTTTCTTCTTCCTTTCTTCTTTTCTTTCTTCCTTCCTTTCTTCTTTCTTTCTTCTTCCTTCCTTCTTTCTCCTTGGAGCTTACAATCTAAGAGTGAGAGGCTAGTGCTACAAAAGGTAATAACTGTGGGGGATGGACTGGTAGGAGGAATAGAAGATTTCGTTATTAGCTGATGGGAGGATAGGCTTCCCTGAAGAGATATGTTTTCAGAGATCGCCTAAAAGTGAGCAGAGTAGGCGATAGTCTGATAAATTGGGGTAGAGAGTTCCAGAGGATGGGGGAAGTTCTGGAGGAGTCCTGGAGACAACATGGGAGGAGGAGACAAGGGAGCTAGAGAGCAAGAGGTCATGTGAGGAGTGGAGAGGATGGTTTGGGTGATATTTGGAGACCAGATTGGTGATGTAATTTGGGGCAGAGTTAACAAGAACATATAAAGCCATTTATAATTTTTTGAATTTTATCCGTTGGGCAATGGAAGCCCAACCCAGCATTGATCTGCTGTTTCATTGCCGCATGCAGGGTCCTGCGTCACCATCTTTTTTTCTGTAGTTATCTGGAGTATGCTGTCTCTTCCAGTTTCTTTAAGCCAGCCCCCAAATAATGTGTTGCATGTGCACATGTGTGTTCTAAATGTCCTTAAAGCCTCCTGGGATGCAAATGTAATTATTTGAGGAAGCTGTGGGGAGCAGGGTGTACATCATTCTAGGTGGGAATACCAGAAGTGAGGGACCTGTACTGAAAAAAAAAAATTGCATTTCCATGAAAGGATGATGGTGGAAAGCGTAAGAAAAGTAGTTGAAGAGAGTGAAGGTTCTCTTTAACCCCTTGACGCTGATGTCACACAAATATGCGGCCTCATGGAACTGGGCTTTTTTCCGTGGGGCTGCATATTTGTGTACCTGTCTTTGTGCTGGGAACGTGCTGCACTGTAGCACAAAGCCTGCGGTGTCACTGAGAGCCCTGGGTCCCGGTTTAATGATCGGGACCCGGGACTCCCAATTCGGGGTCACATGATCGCTGTGATAGCCTCTGATTGGCTATCACAGTGATCAGTCACTGTGCAGCCTGACCCCTTGTTTTTTTTTCTCTCTCTATGAATGGAGACGAGAGATGCATTGTATCTCTGTAACTCCTGGCATAGAGAGAAAAAGTTTGTTAAAAAAAAAAGAAAAGAAATAAATATTAAAATAAAAAATACCTAGATCAAGGTTTGATTTAGTTCAGTGCCAGGGTTATTGTTTGGGTCAGGGTCAAAGGTCAGGATTAAAAAAAAAAAAAAAAATTTGTGTCAGTTTCAATGCCATTTTGTTGCAGTCAAAACACCGTTGGCCATTTTCCCTAAGGAGTCCTAATACCAAATGGCCACTGATGTTTTGACTCCAACAACATGGCCGCCGGACAGTCTAGTAATGGCCATACACTACATGCTGTAAATCATAGGCAAATTGGCCACTATACACCAGACTTTGACAAAAAGGCACCGATCATAGTAATAGAACAGACTATTTAAAGACATATCTGCCCCAACTATACCCTGATGAAGTCACGTGACCATGATGTAATGTGTAGGGTGTGGGCTGAGGAAGTTTTTAAGGAAGTGAGAGGATCCATGGTTTTAAAGCGCTTGTCATTTTAATATACAATGTAAGTGTGATTTTAATAAAAAATATATATAAATATTTTTTTTTTTACTGACTTACTACACTATATGAGGCATTCTTTCATTTGGGTGAGGTACTGGCATCTGGCGGAACAGAGGATTTCCATTATTACCTATTATTATCCATTATGTGGGAGGAGGAGTGGATAGCCCTCTAGTGGCTAAATAAGATATTGCAAGGTCTGGATTTATGGAGATGTCTTATTAAATACATACAAGTGTTACATGCGTTGGAGGTGACTGGTATCCGCTGAGATGGAGGATTTTATTACCATCTTAAAAGTATCCATTATATGGGAGGAGGAACAGACTAAGGAGATATCGAAAGGTCTGGATGTGTGGAGATGTCATATTATTAACACACAGTTTTTACATGCATTGGAGGTGAGAGTTCTGTGAACATTCTGTGAATGCTAGCATAAAAATTCACATTCATTATGGAATCGCAGTCACGGTGTTGGATCATGTGATATTTGGAAACTTATGAACTCATTTATTGAAAGCTTTTTAGTATCTCTTTTTTCCCATTATTCATTCATTTATATTTTATGGTGTATGTTCTTGGTCATTTATTCCCATTATGATTATGGGCACAGTTTATTCACCTGTATAGTTTATTAGTACTGATTGATGTCTATTAGCAGCGTTACATCACCTTTTAATTCATTTACTTATTTAGACGTATGCTTATTGTTTCCTATATCATAGAGATGGGCAGAACGGTTCCAGTCTTTGTCCACTTCTATGTTGAATTACATATTTGAATTGATCTAGGACCCTTTTATCCTAAACCCATATTTAAAATGGATCTTTGTCATATGATCATTAAGCAAAAAAAAAAATCAAAAACATTTTTCTTTTGATTTCAATTTTGTAGGACTCGGTACCATTGTCTACTTTGATACTTGGAGACAAGTCTGATCCTACTTCAAGTTCTTTTGCACAGCGGTTAGGTATGTATGTTACTATTTTAATTTTACAACTTGATTTTTCTTTGTCTACAGCTACATAGAGCCGTCTGGTTTACCCGATTTACCCCTAAACATCCCTTACCCCTTCTAGAATGTCCCCCCAGTTGTTTTTTTTTTGTTTTTACCTTGTTGCTATAGTAAGAAGCCTCTTTTACTACTTCCAGTGACATCAATCAAGGCTTGTAAAAATGTGGAGAAGGACATAATGGGGGGTGGGGATACAGTTCTGTAATCTAGCAGGGATGACAACACTGGGATTCCAGTGCTGCAGTGTTGTCAGCCCACACAAAGAACTTAGGACCCCACGCATATACTTTATGAGCATGGAGGGCTAAAGCTGCCTGTACATCCGCTATTTATCGGACAAACAGGTACCTTTTTAAACTGACTTTACATACAATTGGCTCATGTCTGACAAACCAGCTACAATTCTGTAATGGTTTCAACTACAGTGCATTCATAAAGTGTTTAGACCCCCTTCACATTTTTCAATTTTGTTATACTGCATCCTGATTCTACAGATGTTAAATTACATTTTTTTTTCTCAATCTACACAATTACAATATAATGACAAAATGTGGCAGAACAGTGGCCCAGTGGTTAGCACTTCCGCCTGGCAGTACTAGGGTTGTTGGTTCAAATCCCAACCACTGCACCACCTGCCTGGAGTTTGCATTTTCTCTCTGTGCCTGCGTGGGTTTCCTCCGGGTACTCCGGTTTCCTCCCACACTCCAAAGACATGCTGGTAGGTGAATTGGCTCCTGTCTAAATTGGCCCTAGTATGTGTATGTATGAATGTAAGTTAGGGAACTCAGATTGTACGCCCCTTGAGGGTTAGGGACTGATGTGAATGTACAATAGATATGAAAAGCGCTGCGTAAATTGATGGCGCTATATAAGTACCTGAAATAAATAATAATAAAATGAAAACAGAATTTTAGAAAGGTTTTCAAATTTACGAAAAAGGGAAAACTGATATATCACATTGGCATAAGTATTCAGACCCTTTGCAACAACACCTGAAATTCAGTTCAGGTGCCTCCCATTTCTCTTGATCGTTACTGAGATGTTTCTGCACCTTGATTGGAGTCCACCTGTGGTAAATTAAATTGATTGGACATGATTTAGGTTAGGTTCACACCTATGCAGTTTGCGTTTGACCTGTTTCTGCATTGCGTTTTTGCCGCATTTTTTTTTTTTTTTTTGCTAGGCAGATTTAAAACACAGCAAAAACGCACTATATGCTTTTCTGCAGCATTTCCATTGAAGTCTATAGAAAGTGCCTAACCAATTCCAAAAAAAAAAAAAAACAGGAGAAAACGCGGAGATGTGAACGTGTCCCATAGGAAATCATGTTAAATGGAATGTAGTGTGTTTATGCAAAACGCTGTGGAAACCGCTTAGGCGTAAACCTAGGATTAGAGAGGCAAACACCTCTCTATAAAAGGCCTCACAGCTGACAAACGCATACTGTATTAGAGGAAAAGCCACGAGGTCCAAGGAACTGCCTTTAGAACTAGACGGTTATTAGAAGGCACAGATCTGGGGAAGGCTACCAAAAATGTCTGCTGTATTGAAGGTTCCCAAGAGCACAGTGGCCTCCAAAATCCTCAAATGGAAGAAGTTTGGCACAACCAGGACTCTTTCTGGTAAGCAAGTGGAGGAGAAGGGCCTTAGTAAGAATGGTGACCAAGAACCCGATGGTCACTCTGAGGTCCAGGGATCCTGTGTGGAGATGGGACAAAGTTCTAGGACAACCATCACTAGCCCTCCACTCTGTGTGCCTTTCCAAATCACGTCCAATCAATATAATTTACCACAGGTGGACTCCAATCACGTTGTAGAAACATCTCAGCAACGATCAAGAGAAATGGGAGGCACCTGAGCTGAATTTCAAGTGTTGTTGTAAAGGGTCTGAATACTTATGCCAATGTGATATTTCAGTTATTTATTTTTTTAAAAATTCCAGACATTACTAAAATTCTGTTTTCACTTTTGTCATTCTGGAGTACTGAGTTTAGATTAATGAGGAAAAATGTGAATTTAACCACTTCAGCGCCGCCTTATAGCAGAAATACTGCTACAGGGCGCACGGGTGCGCAAAATCACGTGTGTGTGTGTGATTTTGCATTTCTGGGTAGGGGGCGTGCGCCCTACCCGCACCGCCAGCCACAGCTGTCGATCACCGGGTTCTACCCGGTAATTACTCGCTGGCGCCCAATGATTTCCGAAGATAACAAGCAGGGCTCTGTTTCCTGTTGTACCAAATTGTATTGTAACTGTAATGTCTACCTTCATTTTGTAAAGCGCTGTGCAAACTGTGCCGCTATATAAATCCTGTATACTAATAATAATCTCTGATGGGGAGGAGGACTGTTTTGTTTGTGAACAGTCGTCCTCCCTGTCAGCTCGGGCACACTGCTTTGGATGGCTGTGCACAGCACAGCCATCCAGAGCAGTATGATTACAGTGAAGCACACTGACACGGCCCCCCTATGTAAAACACTTCCTGCACACAGTTAACCCTTTGATCGCCCCACATGTTAACCCATTTCTGCCCAGTGCCATTAGTACAGTGTCAGTGCTGTTTTTTTTTAGCACTGATCACTGTATTGGTGTCACTGGGGATGTCAGTGACACCAAGTCAGTTCCCCACAGTGTCAATGCCCACTGCAGTTTCGCTATAGGTCGCTGATAGCACCATTACTAGTAAAAATAAAAAAATTCCAGTATATATACCGCCATTTGTAAATGCTACAACTTTCACGTAAACCAAGTCATTTACACGTATTGGGATTTGTTTTTAGCAAAGATATGTAGCAGAAATTTCGATTTTTAAAATGTTTTTCTTGTATATGTTTTATAGCAAAAAGTAAAAAATTTTGTTTTGTTTTTTTTTTTTTTTTCAGAATTTTCTGTCTTTTTTTTGTTTATAGCACAAAAAATAAAACCCGCAGAGGTGATAAAATATCACCGAAATAAATAAATCTCTATTTATGGGGAAAAAAGAACATAAATTTATGTACAGCATTGCATGACCGCGCGAATGTCAAAGTATCAAAGCGCCATATCGCAAAAAATGGCCTGGTCAGGAAGGGGGGTAGCTTTCACGTAAACCAATTAATTTACATGTATTGGGATTTGTTTTTAGCAAAGACATGGAGCAGAATACATTTTGTTGTAAATTTATGACGAAATTAGATTTTTTAAAAAGAAGTTTTACTGGACATGTTTAACCCCTTCACACCGGCGCCTCCCGGCCCTTTAGGAGTTTCAGAAGCCGGGGGGGGTTTAGGGTCATGTGACCGTCGTGATGCGGCGTCACGGCGGTCACATGATCAGGAAAGGTCCCGATCTAAAGAGGAGATCGGGACCTTTTCGTGAGTACCGGACATGTGTGCTGGGAGCGCGCAGGGCGCGCACTCTCGACACATATGACCTTTTTTAATAGAAAGCAACTGTGCGGCCGCTTGGCGTCTAGGCTCAGACGCCAGGAAGCCGCACATTTGCGTTCGGCCAGCGTGAAGAGGTTAATAGCGAAAAGTCAAAAATATTTTTGTTTTTTATAACGCAAAAAATAAAAAACGCACGGGCGATCAAATGAAAACTCAATTAGTGGGGGAAAAAGGCCATATTTAATTTGGGTGCAGCATTGCATGACTGCGCAGTTGTCAGTTAAAGTAACGCAAAAAATGGCCGGGTCAGGAAGGGGGGTAAATCCTCCGGAGGGCAAGTGGTTAAACAACTGTAATATCAGGCTACAGTAAAATTTTAAAAAATATAAAAGTGAAAATGCACTGTATGAATTTTATTGTGTGACAATCCAAATTTCTGCAAGAACTTTATAGCAGTCCCCTGCAAACCCCCCCCCCCCCCCCCCCGCCTTGGGGGGTCCTCTCCGCCCACACAGTCGCATTATTTTCTCACAGAGTTCCATGAGTGAATGAATTGTGAGGACACTGGTGAGCATCCTTGAGGTTCATTGGCTCCTTCCTGAGCTTCAGTAACTGTCTGCCAGTATGGAGGTACGGGCAGACAGTTGCACTAATGCAGGCCATAGATGGTTCGTTTATCGGTCGTTTTTTTTTTCGTCGTCCGAAAAATGAAACATTGGTCGTTCTGTTGCCACCAATGATTGCGAAAATCGGCCGTTTTTTTCACAAATTTTCCAGCATGACCGAGAAAAGAAATGAGGAGGAACCACGAAAATCGGTCGATGCCATTGCCCCACTAACAGTGTGAAAATCAGCCGATTTATTCTTTCGGACAAAAAATCGACTGATAAAACAAACAGACAATGGCCTGCATTAGTGTCTGCAGGAGCCTGACATTGCACCCGTGATCCACTGACCGTGGATGCAATGCTTTGCAGGCTGAAGTGTGGAAAAATAATAAATGCACATTTTTTTCCTTTTACCTGCAAAATCATGTGCGTTTTTTATTTATTTTTGTACAAATGACCAACTTTGCTCTCTGTCTCGTAGCCTCTAATAATGTAAATGAAGTTGTAAGAATTAACTAACTTCCATAGCTGCACAGTGCCAACACATACATACCTTTTTTATTTCCTTGTGGTTGATCTCCTAACCTCCCCAACCAGAATTGTTAGTAGCAAATTTCTTAGAGTTGTTGTTCAGGCAAGCACAGGTTCCGCGTCATCGGCTCTTCTGACATCAGGTGTGGTTGCTACATCTGTACTACTGCCGGGGAAAGGGGAACAGCAGAGGCTTCAGGCAGCATTGGAATAGGGAATTCCAGCACAAAAGACACTTGTTAATAACGTGCTGTCATCTAGCTACCTGACACTGATATTACATTTATGATCTGAACTGATCCTGCAGATTTGCTTTAACGCTCGTTTGCTTCACTTTTCATTGTCCGCATTTTGTTAGCATTTCTTGTTCACAACAACTATGTGTGTGTGTGTGTGTGTGCATGCGCGTGCGCAAAGCATGTTTCATGCCACATTTTTAGGACAGCATTGAGTGGTTTCAGACCCACAGGGATAAATGGCCACAAAAATATTATGGGATTTGTTGCATATCTGCACCATGGAAACACTATTATTTTAGATCTCATTTACACTATTGGGCTGCATTAACCACTTCAAGTCCGGACACTTTTACCCCCCTTCCTGTCCAGGCCAATTTTCAGCTTTCAGCGCTATCACACTTTGAATGACAATTGCGCGGTCATGCAGCAATGTACCCATATGAATTTTTTGAGCCAGATAAAACTTTATTTTGGTGGTATTTATTCACCACTGGGATTTTTATTTTTTTTTCTATATAAATGAAAAAGTCCAAACATTTTGAAAAAAAAAGTGTTTTTTTCTTATAAAAATTTTGCAAATAAATCATTCTTCATAAATCTTGGCCAAAATTGTATTCATCTGTCTTTTTAGTAAAAAAAAATAACCCAAAAATTATTTTTCAAAACTTTTTTAAATTATTTTTATGTTTTGTTTTTTTTTAATAACCTATTGTCACCCTAGCAGTACAGTATCACCATAGTGATGAGGGGTGATGATTTTTTTTTTTTTTTTTTTCTTTTTTTACACTGATTGCTTTTACACCCATAAAGGCTATAAAAGCAATAATTTCTCCTTCTCTCTGACTGCATTTTTGCAGCCATTGAGAAATACTGTGTGAGCTGTGATTGGTCACAGCTTGTCACATGGTACAAGGCTGTTGTGAATAACCTTGTACCATGTGACCTCTGTGATCATTCACAGATTTCACTAGTAGTAAGCAATGATGTCAGGAAGTGACATCTTGCTTACTACTATTCATGTGATCATTGATTGGCCAATCAGGGATCACATGAATTGGGACCTCACACAGAGGTTCCATACAGTGATCGGTATTCTGCTGTGTCCGGAGGACACAGCGGGCATCAGATCGCGGTGCCGCGCACTCCCAGGGAGCGTGCACAGGAAGTGAATGCGGGGGCCGTTTATAAACGGCAACCCGCTCCTGCACTGCTCCCATCCGGCCATTTATGTACATGGGCCGGACGGGAAGTGGTTAATGTGCGATTTATTGCAAAACATGTTACACCTGTTGGTACTGTGCCATTCCTTTTGAATAGCAACCCCAGGTACCTTGCTTAGGGATATGTGTTGCAGTATGCTGCAAAAAAATTGCTACATGTATATTATGGTGCAATAACAAGCCTTTTTGACCCCTTTGCGCCGACGCTTCCCGGCTTCTGAAACTCTTAAAGGGCGGGGTTTTAGGGTCAGGTGACCGCCGTGATTCGCTGTCACATGATCCGAAAAGGTCCCGATCGCAAGGGGAGATTAGAACCTTTCCGTGAGTCACGGGCACATGTGCTGGGAGCGCGCAGGGTGCACACTCTCAGCACATATGTATTTTCTAATGGCACGCAAATATGCGGCCACTCGGCGTCTAGGGGTTAAACAAACGGGCTGCCTTAACACAATGCACATTAATGCAACACAATTATGTAAATGGTCTTTTAAAGTTTTTGTTTTTCAAATTAAGTATTTTTCCTCCTTTTTTCTTTCTTGGAAATTGCTCCACCAACTTGCCCGCTCTGTTTTTCCATGGTATGCCCCTAGGTCTTTGGACTTGGGCAACTTATGCTGACCTACAGCTCGCACCACGAGGTGGTCCAATTGATATCTTCTAGTACAAATTGTTTAGTTGCACAAGATATTATCTGTGTTCTTCTGAAATGCTCGGTTGTTGTGATCCCTGTGTGGGTGACCAGTGGCTTTGTCATTTTCATGTACACCAATACAAATTATTGTAGCAGAAAATGATCCTCACACAAACCTCGACATATAATGGAAAATAATCAGCAGAGGTTACCTTCAGGAAAAAACATAGGAAAAGTGCTTTGCAACTCCCTACATCTCTGCATACCATTGGTTCTCACGAATGTAACCTCTGCATTTGCATTTTTTTTTATTACTCAATTTGAATTCCCCAGGATGGTGACAAATATATACTAAGACCTACAAAAATTTCATAAAAAAAAAAATAAATATTTATCTTAACGTTGTTGTATGATCCAAAATTGTGTGCCTGCCTTCATTCATGTACCAGCTACAAAGGAGTAAATTGGTACCTTTGCTTGAACCATTGAAGAATCCTGGACTGAGAGCAATATGAAAGTTGCTTTGCTGACTTCTCTTCCTGAAAGTACTTGTTTTTATTGCCGTAATGCTGCTTTAATACTTCAATTCAATGGCCTGATTTGAACAAGCAGCTAAGTTAGGGCTCATGTACACGGGGTGTTTGCAAAACTCTTCTGAACGATGGAAACTGACTGCTGGAAAACGTAGGTTAAAAAAAAAGTCAGTTTAGCTGAGTTTGCATACCGCGTTTATGTGCGTTTAGAAGAGTTTTTAAAAGATAACCTCTGGAGACCTTCCCAAATGCCCAGAATTCACTGAAAAATAGTAAAAAAGTTACTATTTCCAACATTTTGAGAGAAATAGAGAGAGCAGAAGCAGAGAGAGCAGTATGTGTTGAGATGACCTGTCTTTTCTAGTTGTATTCACTATGGATCCTATCATGAGCATAATGCAGCACGTTCTACCATTTTTTTCCTTCACGCCAAACTTGGAACTGACTGCACTAATGTACTAGGTCCACTTGAATACATGGAAAAGGCTTTGGACAGCAACTGGACATGGAACAGTTAAAAATGCTGCTAAACGCAAACACGTATAAACGCGGTTAACTGCGTTTGGCATTTGAAACGCCAGTAAAATCTACTCTTGAACGCAAGTTTGGTGCATTCAAAAAAACGACTGTAAACTCAACTGCTTGTAAACGACTGTAAACAACATAGTGTACATGGACATTTAGGAAAACATTAGGGTGAGTTCAGGGGCTGCTGAAGAAAACATTGAACAGCTCCTGAATGTCAGTTTATCAGCTGCAGTGTACATGAGCCCTAATTCAGAGCAGTGTCTGAACTCAAATATATACCTGTTCAAGGTCGGTAAATTTCAAGAAGTGTGGAAACCACACAACGGCCAGGCAAGCAGCATTTTCAGAAGGTCAGCAGCTGCAACTGATATACAGTATATTCCTCAGGACAGGTTTTCAAGAGGTCCCTTGACAATGGCGAGTCCCTGCAGTGTGCATATGTTGGTGCAGTGTGTTTTTCATTCATTTTGAATTGTTATCATTGCTTAAATTAAAATATGGCTCTTAGCTGGTACAAAATAAGAAAGAACAAGTCATTTTCTGTTTTTTGTTTTTTTTATTTGCAGCAAAGAAGACTAAAAAGCAAGTGTTTGTCAGCATTAGCATTCCAGCAACTGACAGCCAGGTACTGTTGCTGATAGAGAAACGAATCAAGCAGGAAATGGATGCCTTTCCTGAAAAGTTTTGAAGGACACTGACCAGGCACCTAACACTGCCTTAGCAGATCTACGGCTGTTGCTTGTCGTCATGGTCATTGGAAGTCACTGAGGAGCAGCAGAGATACGCTTTGCCTAAGGAGTGCTTGGAAAAGAAGCGTGTAGAAGCTGATTATGTACCAAAGACCAAATGCATAACATTAGCCCCTATTACCAGATTTAAATGTATTAGGGGATTCAACGGATAAAGCTCACGTTTTGAAATGAGATTATTTTTCAACTTGATCTCATTCTTTATGCAAAGAAATAAAAGTTAAATAGAAGGACTTTTTTGTATTTTATCTTAAAACACAGAATTAAAACTTTTTTCTTTTTTGTTGTTGCTCTGTGATTTATTACTGTTTTTTGTAAATATGTCTGCCCCTTTTTACATGTGGAGGATTACCTTTAATTATACATTCTTTTTATATTGAGCAATAGAGATGAATACATTTGTTTCCATAATAAGAGGCCTCTTTTCCCTACTCTTCCATTTTATAGGACTGGTGGCCACTGTGCCCTTTGTCCTTCTGGACACCAGTCTTGAGACTTCCCTGTTGTATTTCTATTTTCAGCCAGCAGTGATGTCATTACATCCCCACTTGCTGTAGTGGGCAGATCTAGGAGTCTCCAGACTCCTGGTCTGACCCACCAGCTGTAATGGTCCTATGATTGACAGGCCAGTAGACTCCTGACCTGTCCTGTCTCTGATGAACTTACTGTGTGCATGTCAAGCCAGTAGTCGCCTGGTCTGTCCTGTCCTGGTCATGCCCCTTCTTGCCAACTCGCTACAATTCCCATGACCTGATGGCAATTGTAGTTTCTCATAGTGGCTCTGTGAGAAGGGTGGATGGGATGTGTTAGCTTGCATTAGACCTCTTCCCGACACTTGCGTTAAGCAGATTTTTTGGAGCTACATGGAGTTACATTTTGAGCTAGATGATGAAGTTGTTAACCAATTTGCAGTATTTACTGTACTTGAAGACAATATTGGGTAATTATTTAATTGCATCCTGAAGTTCGGCTTTAAATAGCTCTCTTTAAAGTGTGTTTGTATATGTGTGTGTGTGTGTCTGTGTCTGTATAGGTATGTATATGTGTTTATGTATGTACAGTTGTGTTCAATAATAGCAGTCAGACATCACTAACCTGATCAATCACTGTTTTTGGTAGAAATGATATTTCTACATGGCAAATAATTTACTAGCAGGTGTAGTAAAGTAATAGAAATCCAACAGACCCAACAGTCATGACATGCATGCTGCTGATTCTGTGTAATTGAATCACTAATTGAAAGGGGCATATTCAAAATAATAGCAGTGTGGAGTTCTGTTAGTGAGGTCATTCATTCTTTGAAAAACAGGTGGCAATTATTGCCCTTATTTAAGGAAGGAAGGCAGCAAATGTTGTACATGCTGGTTACAGTGCATTTCTCTCTGAAATTCTGAGGAAAATGGGTTGTTCCAGACATTGTTCAGAAGAACAGCGTACCTTGATTAAAAAGTTGATTCGAGAGGAAAATATATAAAGAAGCGCAGAAAATGATAGGCTGCTCAGCTAAAATGATCGCAAATGCTTTAAAATGGCAACCAAAACCTGAAAGACGTGGAAGAAAGCGAAAAACTACCATTTGAATGGATAGAAGAAATAGCCAAAATGGCAAGGACTCAGCCAACAATCAGCTCCAGGAAGATCAAAGAAGGTCTAAAGTTACCTGTGAGTACTGTTACAATTAGAAGACACCTATGTGAAGCCAAGCTATCTGCAAGAAGCCCCCGCAAAGTCCCACTGTTGAAAAAAAGACGCGCTGAAGAGGTTACAATTTGCCAAAGAGCACATTGACTGGCCTAAAGAGACATGGCGCAACATTTTGTGGACTGATGAAAGTAAGATTGTTCTTTTTGGGTCTAGTGGCCGGAGACGACCCCCAAACACTGAATTCAAGCCGCAGTACACTGTGAAGACAGTGAAGCATGGTGGTGCAAGCATCATGATATGGGGATGTTTCTCATACTACGTGTTGGACCTATTTATCACATACCAGGGATCATGGATCAGTTTGAATACATCGAATACTTGAAGAGGTCATGCTGCCTTATGCTGAAGAGGAAATGCCCTTGAAATGGGTGTTCCAACAAGACAACGACCCCAAACACACCAGTAAACGTGCAACATCTTGGTTCCAGACCAACAAGATTGACGTTATGGAGTGGCCAGCCCAATCCCCGGATCTTAATCCAATAGAAAACTTGTGGGGTGACATCAAAAATGCAGTTTCTGAGGCAAAACCAAGAACTAGAGAAGAACTGTGGAATGTAGTCCAATCATCCTGGGCTGGAATACCTGTTCACAGGTGCCAGAAGTTGGTTGACTCCATGCAACACAGATGTACAGCAGTTCTCAGAAACAGTGCTTATACAACTAAATATTCATTAAGTGATTCAAAGGAAAGCAAAATCTTCAAACATTTTTCAGTTTATATAGTGAATGTTTGAGTTTGTAAAGAAGAATACAAACACTGCGCTATTTTTTTTTTTTTAGAACAGTCTAATATTCACGTTTCTTCAATTTTTAATCCGTTAATTTTTTTTTATTCCTTCAGCCCACTGGCTTAACACAAGGCCCTTCAGTGCTTTGTGTATGCAGTTTTGCAGTTGTCCCAGGACCTCTGGTGGGCTTTAATACTGAAATTGGTTGGTGGGCTAACTTCTAGGCTTGCTGACCTCTACCTATTGTTTTCCTATGTACTTTACAATGTAATATCAAAAAGGTATAAAGGCTCGTCAAAAGCTGGGGAACGGGGGGGGGGGGGGGGGGGGGGGGGGGGGAAACAATCACAAGAAGCTGGATTCTAGAAGAGCATCAGTAAGTCTAAAATAAAGGTAGAATGATGCTTTTATTTTTAATGTCTATTTTTTAGTAACTATTTAATACAATCCTTCTACATTTATTAAGCTTCCTACCACTGGTCTATTTTTGGAACTCCTATACACAGGTATTTGTAAGATGCCTTTGCATTGCTAAACTCATTACTAATCTACTTTGCATTTAACACCTTAAATATGTCCATTATTTTTTTTTTCCTATAAAAGATCTCCCCCTCCCCCCCCGAATTGTTGTCTTATACTGTATAATATGTATATATGCAACACAAATAGAAGCAATATAATGCCCTCCAAGAAGAAAAGTATATCTTATACATGATTGTAGTTCTTACTCTTTTTATGGTGGTACTGCTGGTCTATGGCTTTATAGGCTAACAAATGGGAAAAAAAAAAAAATGGCTGGTGCTATGACTGAGCCTACAAAACTGCTGAATTACAGTTAGGTCCATATATATTTGGACACAGGCACAATTTCCATACTTCTGGCTCTGTATGCCACCAGAATAAATTAAAATTAAATAATCCAAATGAATTTGAAGTGCAGACTTTCAGCTTTAATTCAAGGGCTTGAACATACATATCAAGTACAAATTTTAGGAACTGCAACCATTTTTATACCCAGTCCATCCATTTTCAGGGGCTCAAATGTAATTGGATAAATGAATATAATCATAAATAAAATGTTCATTTTTAATATTTTGTTGAGAATCCTTTACTGGCAATGACTGCCTGAAGTCTGGAACCCATGGACATTACCAAAGACTGGGTTTCCTCCTTTCTGATGCTTTGCCAGGCTCTAACTGCAGCTGTCTTCATTTGTTCTTTGTTTGTGAGTCTTTCTGCCTTTTAGTTTTGCCTTCAGCAAGTGAAATGCATGCTCAATTGGGTTGAGGAGATCAGGTGATTGACTCGGCCATTGAAGAATATTCCACTTCTTTTCCTTCAAAAGCTCCTGGGTTGCTTTTGCAGTGTGTTTTTTGGATCATTGTCCATCTGTACTGTTAAGTGCTGTCCAATCAACTTTGCTGCATTTGACTGAATCTTGGCTGACAGTATATCTTTAAACACTGCAGAATTCATCCGGCTGCTTCTGTCTTCTGTCACATAATCAATAAACACCAATGACCCAGTGCCCCTGGAAGCCATGCATGCCCATGCCATCACACTGTCTCCACCATGTTTTACAGATGACGTTGTGTGCTTTGGATCATGAGCTGTTCCAAGCATTCTCCTCACTATTTTCTTCCCCTCATTCTGGTACAGATTAATCTTAGTTTCATCCATCCAAAGAATGCTTTTCCAGAACTGGACTGGCTTTTTTAGATGTTTTTTGGCAAAGTCTAATCTGGCTTTTTTATTCGTCAGGCTTATGAATGGTTTGCACCTTGTGGTAAACCCTCTGTATTTACAATCAGGAGAAGACTTCACGAGAGCAGACTTTGACAAAGATACGCCCACCTCCTGGAGAGTGTCCTTCACTTGTCTGGATGTTATGAATGGGTTTTTTTTTAACCATAGAGCAGATCCTGCAATCATCCACCACTGTTGTCTTCTGTGGACTTCCATGCCTTTTTATGTTGCTGAGCTCACCAGTGCATTCTTCTTTCCTCAGAATGTACCAAACTGTTGTTTTGGCCACTCCTAATGTTGCTGCTATCTCTCTGATGCATTTGTTATGTTTTTGAAGCCTTACAATAGCCTTCACTTGCATGGACAGCTCCTTTGACCACATGATGTAGGTTTACAGCAATAGATTCCAAATGCAAATACCACACTTAGAATCAACTCCAGACCTTTTACCTGCTTAATTGATGAATAAATAATGGGAGTAGCCCACACCTGGCCGTGAAACCACTTTTGATTTAATTGTCCAATTACTTTTGGTCCTTGAAAAGGGGGGATGGCTACTCTTAAGAGCTGTAATTCCTAAACCCTTCCTCCAATTTGGATGTACATACCCTCAAATTAAACATGAGAGCCCTTTCAGCCCATATCCATTATATAACTATAGCTTGAATATGTTTTGGTAAATACCTGAAAAAACTAAAATTGTGCCTGTGTCCAAATATATATGGACCTACTGTAACTACTCTTTAAAGGGGAGATCT